CTGGTGTTCTGAAAAGTGGGTTTAACCTTATTGTATTTATTTTTGAAAATCATTAGATAAAAAAATCAAACATTTGTAGCTTGTTGCATTTCTTTTGCATTTCAGTATATTAAAGATGACTCTTTATTAGATAGGCTCCTTTCTTCTTTTGGCTAAGGCAATACACAGCACCAAAGAATATCCCCCGAAAATATCAACTACTTTCAGATTTATGTATTGCAAATATTTTATCTAAGGTCAAAAAATTAGTTTTATAACATATATAAACATATGAAAAATAAGTCAAAATAAATTTGATAACATGTATAAACAATATGAATATGAAAATAAACAATCAACATGTATTGCACATCTAAAATCCATTAATTAATTTTCATAAATCAATATATACATTAATACAAATCAAAAAACAAGTAGAATTGATCTGAGTGTTTGTATTTTGAACACATTTAATACAGTATATACATGTATTTGGAGATTTTAACAAATTGTACTACATGTACATATACAATGTACATGTATTTGAAATTCATTTTGTGGTATACATGCATGTATATGCATTTCAAAACTGGTGGTGACATACTAGAAATTTGATACTGAGTACAAATTTAAGTATATTCTAAGTTGACAACTTTCTTTTCTTCCTCTGCTCCTTAAATTCCTCGAACTTTTGAAGTTTTTGTTTTCTTTGCCGATAAGCTCTGTCTTCTTTACAAACCTCCTCTTCTGTTTCACTACCTGACGAAGAATTTGTTTCACTTTCACTTTCGCAACCAGAGCTACTTTCATTTTCACTGGATTTATCTAGGTTTATAGTTTCTGTTTGATTATCCATGGAGGCACAACATAAATAAAGTTCTTCATCGCTTTCAGTTATGATAATTTCTGTACCAGAGTCAGTCTGCACATTATTTGTGACAGAGGTCTCTTTGTCCTCCATGTTTGTTTCACAATGGAGAGTCTCACTATTGTTGAAATTTTCTGCTGAGCTTTGTTCGTTAACCCTTTCTTCAACTGCAGTAATTTCAGTATTATCCTCCAACTCTGTATCTGAATCACTGGATTCAATAACATTAGATTTATACTTGCTTTTCTTCAGTTTTACACCTGTCACTGGTGAATTAGACCTGGATGGTTTATCTATTGTGTTTTTTACTGGCTTATCCTCAGTATCAGTTTCACTATCGAGAGGCTGGCAAGATCCACTTTCCTCTGATTCGGAATCACTGGCCTTGGGCACCAGTCTTCTTCTGTAACCCTGTATTCGACTGGGGTGTGGTCTTTCCTTTTTAAGTAGAAGGAAAAGAATGAATTCATGACCATATACTTGTATGTATAGCAACTTAATTTATTTCTTGCATACACTTTTAAACGTTTATATCTTGAATTCCACAAAAAGGTCATTCTGAAGTCCCCAACTTTTTGTAAATTAAACTTCATCTTTCCAATCCATGTTTAACTGTTTTTTTCTCATTTCCATTGAGTTTAAAATTAACAGGTTTTACTTTACTTTGTTGACTTTTTAAGTCTCAAATTTCATTATATGTATGGAATAACAATTATGTCTTATTTTTCTTTTTTTCTTTTTTTTTTTGAAATTCAGGATAATTCTCCTTTATTAAATATAGGGTATGTCATTTTCCCCTGATCTTTCTATGTAGCAGTTGAAAACAATATGTAAATTATAAAACAGCTTATAGACACAAAAGGGATAAAATACTTATAATGACATGCATATTAGAATAAAAAAAAAATAGGAAAAAGGTGTGTGAATCCCAAGATTAAAAAGAAAAGGAAGAAAAGCGGGGCCATCTCCTCCTCTACCTCCAAGTGTCTGTGAATTTATAGCAAAATAAACCCTTTAAGTTTTCAAAATGTACAATGAAATTTGGAAAAAGAGGAGCTCAAGGCTGTAAAATGTTATATTAATGAGTTGTTTTATTCTCTCATATTTCAAGTCCAACCTCTCTGATGACAAAATTTGAATATGTTAAAAATAAAAAAATTACCCATCCTGCATTTCAAATTAAAAAAAAATGCCTAGATTTTAAATGCACTGTACAATGTAACACTCTTACATCTGAATCTTCATCACTTTCTTCTTCATCATTGATGAAATCATCAATATCATCACTGTCATAATTGTCGAAGTCAAATGTCTCGTAACGATCAGCATTATATCTGTTGGTCCTAAAAGCAAGTATATAAAATGTTTAAAACCGATCTACATTCATCATTTTATGAATCTTCAAAAAATGTATTTGCAACTAAGCAAGGAAGACTTGTTTTCCAAAGACAAAATTATATTGATATGTATCTAAATGTTAACATACTTTTACAGCTGTACATATGTATTGTATTTTGAATTATGTCAATAAATCTTTTTTTTAAAACACAATAATGTGATTAATTTATTTGTAATTATTTCAGGAAAATTTAATTATTGTATTGTTCAGTTGGAATTACAAAAAATTTCATACACTCTTGTGAAGTCATTGACACATTTAGATGGAGTTCTTGTTTTGACCTTCTCTGAGGATGGAATGTCCTTAAACACATCTTCCTTCTTTGGCATAACAAACTGCTTCTTGTTTCTAAGTCTCTCAGAGCTTCTTGTGTGCTGTAATTAGAAGGGCATGGTTTTTTTTTTTATACTAGTCAATTAGCTGAGATCACATTAATTTAGTGTTGTAGGTTCATTTAAACAGCTGATTTTTTAAAACTTCATGTATGGAAGTATTTTAAAAATCAACATATCCATTTATCCAAGAACTAGTGACAGAAATTGAAGGCTCTACTTTTCTAGTGCATTTTAATATTGTGTAACGTGCAACGCACCGAGCTTGGTGTTTGGTGATTTGTCTTGTATCATCGACGCGTTACACTCAGGTTCGTTAACCTGTTAACTCAGATTTTTGTTGACCAAGTAAGAATATATATACAAATATAATACAATGGGTTTCTTCATGATTGGACAACCACTAACTGTGGTCAACGGGTGTCTCCCGCAATGAATTTCTCTGGTCCTGCCACTCTAATTGTACTGCTGCATCTTGGCACTTCCCCCACTTCTGTGGTATGCCACCTCTCTCTCCATCAGCCTACTGCCTTATACAGGTCTTACGTATTAGCTAAATATTGGTGACCCCTCACTGCCTATTCCCCGAAACTGTGTGCCTTATTCAGGTCTTATCACGAGTTCAAGAGATAGACAGTCAAGCCTCAACAAGCTTGTCACCAGAGAGGTATCCTGAGTTTCTGTAGCACGGCATGTGCTACCTCAGTGCAGTCAGTCCCAGTACATAGGCAGTTACAAACTACTTAAATGATTGTAAAATTAATATTTTTTTAGTGTTTAAGAAATTAGACGAAAACATAGGTCTAACGTTTTATACGAAACTAAATCACAAAAACCAATTTCCGTTTCAATTGAACATTGGAAATTTTTGCTAATTGTGGCTTTTGCAGTACATTGAAAAAATGCATAAAATCCCCAATGCAATTCATGAATTGTCTCAGTTCAAAGTTAAACAATACCAGTGTATCAAATTGCGATTTTCTGCACAGCCTACCATGCTACTTCAAGAAATAAATACAATTAAGTACCAAATAAAGCTACTTAAAAAAGGTAAATAAAGCCGTTTAGGCAATTCAAGCTATGTAGCTAAATCTTAGTGATTGTACAAGACCTGACAGACAGTGAGTAACATGTATTGACGGATAGCATACCGTAGAACGCGGAGCGCACGACTTCTTCGGAGTCTGTGGCTCGATAGAATCTTCTTCATCACTAGTAACGGTGTTACTAGTACTTTTGGTGCTAATTTTTCTTTTCTTCTTCATAGAACTGAAAAATTCTTCCTCTGACTCTGAGGAAGACATCTCAAAATGCACGCGGAAGTCTGGCCACTCTTATTAATTATGAAGCCAATACGGTAATATGCGATAATCCCGGAAAAATAAAGGATTTGTCATCTGATAAAAAGGGCTGTATCATACTGTATGACTGAGCGACGATCCTTTTTTTTCTGGGGGTGGGGGTGTCAGTCTTTTTCTGATAAGGTTAATTACTCTGTCACACCTTTTCCTTCCCCAATCTACGCTTACACCTACGCAGGTGGATTTAGAGGGGACCCAGGGGGCCACCCCCATTTGTTTTTATTCAGTATATCTCTTATATACTTTTTTTTTTACCAATTGCTCTGATTATTTGTAATATCATCATCATGTTTGTTCTATCATTTGGATCCTCCTCCTTCTTCTGTTTGTAAATCTTACTGCTCCTCCGGGGGCCCAAATTGGATTAATAAAATCTTGTATAAAATCTTGTTTTCAAAAATAAGGAATACATAAGATTTAATAAATCAGTTTTGGGTGTTTGTAGCCGTGGGCCCCTATCCCGACCCCAACCTCCCTACCCCTTTCAAGATTCCTGGACTGCCACTGATTAATAAAAATATCTTGAGTGTAATATTGCGAGGTATAATATGTTTATTACTGGGCATTTTAGATTAAAACATATAAGCAACTTTGGAAAAGAGCAGTTTTGAAAAAATATACTTGAATGTATATTTTACTGGGTCTATTTCTCTTGCAAATGATGATATAATAAACTACTAAAATTTCAGAAATTGTAATCCTAACTACATGTATAATGTTAAAAATTCTACCTTTCTGCAAACATCCTTATTAATTTTTCACTTCAAATCCCATTATTGTGAAACGTTAAATGAAAAAATAAAAACTACGCAGTGACGATATATTGTATCTGAGAAATCGAATAAAATACATTGTATAGGCATGAAGCAATGCCAATCTCTCTCTCTCTCTCTCTCTCTCTCTCTCTCTCTCTCTCTCTCTCCCCTTTTCGTAAAAAAGTCAGTGACGTCATAGTCCTAGAGACGTCACAAAGCTATTAGCGTCATACCTAATATTCCAGTTGGAATCGTTGTTTTGTGCAAAGCAAATATCCAGGCTGAATACTAGTAGTAGTGTTGAAGATGGAATTGAAGGAACAAGAGGTAGGAGTATATCTTTTTTAAATACAGCGACCTTTTTTACTTCGACGTAGCTGTTATTCATGCAGTTGAAAATGAATGTTAAAACAACTAAAAAAAAAATGTATCTGTTTGCAAGAGTTATCATAGATAAACTTACTGAAATGCATATGTAGTCATCAACTGCTTCGTCGTTATGGGTCATGGTTATAATCCCTAGTTTTATAGAGGGGCGAGTATAATGGATATCGGCATTACATTTTAATGTATATGTTTATTATGTTAAGATATTTTGAGAAAAAAAATTAACATGCAAAACAATAATTTAAATTGAATGACGTCACAATATCAATGCCATCACAATATCAATGTCGTCATAATGCACGGTTTACCAGATATTATAAAAGCACACTTTCGTTACCTGTATGCTTTGATCGATGGCAAACTCGTCGGAGGTAGGCTGTACGAAACATATTTAATGTACATTCCATGTTAAATTCAACAGACTTAATACCATTCAAAGGTCACGTGTATTTGTTCTAACCTATATACCAGTATATTTAGATTAGAACATAAGGGAAGAAATTTAATAAAAAGAAAGTAATGAACTGCAATTGCATACCTAAATACTACTAGCAGTACATGTATGTATATATTTTCAGTGAAACCTACTTAATTAACATCTTTAATTTGTGTTTTTATTGTAGAACTGAGGGAATGTCTCAGGAATGGCACCTTGTCTCTGAGAGACCTTGATAACAAGCTAGGTAATACATTAAGATAATAAACTAATATTTAATAACAGGTTAAAAATCGTATTGGATTCTGTAGAAAATAAGATACTAGTAGTGGTCGAGGGAGAGTTTAATTAGATACATCTGCTAGCCGAGATTATGAAAAATAAAGTTTTTCCAACTTTTAAAGAAGAAAAGGGGATCCTCAGGAGGCAGAAGAAGACACAGCAGAAGCAAGAAGGGTGGAGATGTAACAACAGGCGAACAGACAAAACCACAGGCTGTGGAAAAACCAAGAAGCACTCCAAAGGCTTCCAAGATTAGCAGACGACCAAAACCAGAGAGCACTTCGAAAAATGCCGAAAAGAATCTTAAATGGATCACTCAAGACAGTGAGTCAGAAATGGTGAGAATTTATCAAATTCATGAATTCTTCTATTTTTATTCAAATGACCAAAAAGACACTAAAGTGTATGAAGCTTAAATGGTTTAAATCATACATTTTACATTTAATATCGTTCTAGGTAGTGCTCAGCATCCTTGATGAACTATTTGATCGAGTTTCTAGATATTCTTCTGCAACTAAGTACAGGTTTGTTAAATAATCAAGATCTAATTTTTTTATTACAATTTACTTTCTCATTTTAACAAATATGAGACCAGCTCATAATTATTGAGTACATGCAGTTCTAGGGATTTGAACCTTGTTGTTTCTGCATTTTAGCGATGCCAAACACACAAGCACAATGACCCCCGCCCTGCTGTGAGCTTTTGACGATTGATAATGAATGTTTTAATTAATTTAAAAGGGAAAAAACACTGCAAATATTGTTTCTTTTGTTTGATTTTTCCTATCTCTTGTTTGTAGCTTAAAGACTTTGTCAGAAACACATGTAAGCAACGAACTGGTAGGTACTTAATACGCTATTGTATGCACCTGAAATAACTCATATAAAATTGCTCCTTTAAAGACGAATGCCCCATAAAAATAAATGAAAAAAAAACTAATATCTGAAGTATTTACTTTCAGGAGGAGGAAGATCAAGTTCCAAAAGTGAAAGGATGGCGACGATTTCTGTGTTGCGTCAAAGCAAACAAAGAACAGGTATATAACTACATGTATCCATCCTCATTTTATTTTAATGCTTTTCCTGTTGTTTTATTCTAGTATCTCAATAATGATATTGTGTTTCATAAAACTGTTTCCTACAAACTTTTGATCCTATATATTTTATTTCTACAGAAAAAAGAGAAACGTGGATTGCTTAACAGACTGCGCCGATTGTTTAGTCGCTAAATTGTGCGAGAATTTTACTTATATGAAGTTTATATTACGAAAATATGTGAAGAAAGCATTACATTGGTGAAAAGACATTAATTATGATTTGGATAATTCATTTACTATATATATCACTTAAAGAAAAGAAAGATGTTACTGTTTTTTAAATAAAATGTATTTTCTGTTTTTGTATGTCTATGAATTATGACGGAAAATGCTTTGTTGGACGGTCACTTACTTACTAACGATAGGAATTCTGTAGTTATCATATAAAGAATATGTTTTCCACAGTGCCCCGTCTTTTGATGAAATGCTGCCTGATCATAAATTCACACATACTGTATTTCAATGTCATTTTCATCTACCAATAGTTCTTATAACAGCCACTACCAATCTTAGCATACAAAATGCATATATATATTTATCACAATTATGTTTAATTTTTATGCACTTTTTTGTTTTTCTCTTAACGTTGTGCTCTTTATTTTCTTTATAAATTGTATTTTAATTTTGTGTTTAAAGTGGCATATAGACCCTATGTTCTTATCCATCTAAGAATTTTGATTGTTGCAAAATAGCAGGTAAATTTTATTGTACATTAATTAAATAAATAGAAAATACAGTACGACAGAAACTCGCTCTACCATTCAACCTGACCAACTCAACTTAGACAAGAAATAAGTTTGAAATGATTCTTTGCAAATTTTCAAAGAGGAGTATTCATATGCGCATACCCAACCTTACCTTGTCAATCGATTTAAGGAAAATCAGTTTTTAGTATCTTTGTCGAAACGTCCTTCAAAGTGCTTAAGAAAATCTGAATTAAAGAATTCCCATCCGATCTTTTAAATTTTTTCTTCAATATCTGAACTTTGAAACAGTTTGGTTATTCAGTCATATTTTTATTTTATATAAGAAGAAATTCAGATGTGTATGGATTTTAACTTAGTAACATTTCTTGACATAGATGACCCAAAGACAAGCTACTTCACATCTTTCTGGATATCTTTATACAACATATTACACTTTGACTAATTTTTTATATTCGTTTTAACTCCCCTGTGTTTTCTTTGCTACATTACCAAGAAATTCTATTCTTAAATCAGCCCATGCAATGCTTAAATCGGCATCTTCTCAATATTATAAAGAGTCTCTCCCCTCTCCAGTAAAAGTCATAAATGTTCCGTTGCGCCTAAACTCCAATAGGTCAACCCCCTCGTTTCTTTACTTATGTGTCTATAAAATACACTTCACAAAACAATTATAACTTTATCACTCTCCAGCCTCATTAAAAATTAAAGAATTCAGCAAAATAAATCACTTGATCACGGATCCTCCTTTTTGTGTTTAAAAATTGCTACGGCGCTAGCTCACCTATCATAAATTTCTTTTCGGTTACATTAATAATGTTTGGGGGAAAATTGGTGTTCCTGGGGGGTCGAACCTGGTTGCTTTGGTGTGCGGGGAGGCGTGTGCGTTGATTTGGTTATCCAGTTGGTTCATATTGCGTTGGTACTATTTATTTATCTCACTTATGTGTTTCACTAATTAAATCTATTTTAGGGTCTATTTTGCGGCAAGCGGTGATTCGGTCTACGGGTATTTAAACTCGTGTTTTATGTTCTTTTGTCATTCGACAAAAGTTAGCCACGACTTATCAGTTAGATTTAAAGATGTTCGATTCAGACGGTAGCGAGCAATCTCCACGTGGTAGTCCGAGGATAAGTGTTACTCACGGCCAAAATAGAGGCGCGTCCAACAACAATGAGTTTAGCCGCAACTGTTCGCAAATATTGAATGAGGACCTGTCTACGCTCTTGCAAGTTATATGCAGAACAAAAAGCTGTTTTTAAAGAAGTTAGAAGCCAAAATTTCAACTAACGTTTTCAGAGAAAGTTCTGTTGATTCAAGTCAAAACATCACAAAGAAAGGTACATGTACAAGTTTTTAACAGATTTACAAAGTGACTTTTGAAGTATTGATAAATATATTGATTAAGTGACGTTTTGAATGGTAACAAAATAATCAAAAAGCTGTTCTTCATATTAAATACCTAAAAAAAAAAAGTTATAAGAATTGCAGATAAGTACGGTCGGGATGTGGCCAGTGAGTATAAGGACCCTCCACAGATATTCACCTAAAATGGTAAAAGATATTTTGTTTTGTGAAAAAGAGCATGTAAATGTACAAACGGTTAAAGAAAATCTAGTAAATAACATTTCTTAATTTTGCTTACAATGTATACCATACGTTATTTATCATTTATAGTTCTGTGTAAAATGCATGGTACACTTGTTCCAAAATGGATATCTTCACTTTTTTACCTAGGCTGGTTAATGCAGATGGAAAATTTAAAGATTTTGTGATTTCATTTTGCTATAATGAATATGACAAACCAAGAATTTTTTTTCACTGCAGGATCTTATAAGAAAGTGTTTTCCCTGGAGTGACATTTTTGTCCAACGTTATAGTACTTCATGTTAATTTTGATATTTGACTTATTCTGGCGCACTTGTGTTTTATGTTCTGAAGTTGAGACATTTATCTGTAATTTTGACTGGAAGTCAGGACTGATATTCTGCATCGTAAGGTGAGTGCCTAATTTGTGTAATGATTGGCTGAGAGCCAGATATTTGTATTGATTGGCTGAGAGCCTGATATGTGTATTGATTGGCTGAAAGCCTATGTGTATGATTGGCTGAGAGCCTATGTTTTTGTTTGGCTGAGAGCCTGATATGTGTATTGATTGGCTGAGAGCCAGGATTTAGATACATTGTAAATGTTTTGTAGGCTGAGAGCCTAATATATGATTGAATGGCTTGAGGGCAAAAGCTTGAAGTTATGCATGTTAGTTAAGGCTTACAGCCAGGATAAATACTAGTAGTTTTTTCAATTGTTCACTATTCGAATTCAACTTGTTCTTTATAAAATTAAAATTTTATATGTTAACGTTTTGTTATGATTTCAGTTCTTCAGCCATTCACATTGGGTACAATTGGAAATTCTTGAAGAGGGGAACATTGTTACACTGGCTGGAAATATACCAGGTTTATCGGGACATCAAAATTAAAGTAAACTTTAAGTAAATACAAGACACGTTTTTCTAAATTCCATCCTTGGTGTTCATTTTCAACCAAGAACGCTTGAAATAGTGTCTTCATATCGCATCTTGTTTGGAGTAAATCAACATTTCAATGATAAACCCTAATTTTCATGCAGTGGTATCATGAGAAAAATTTGTTTCCAAACCCGTGTTCTGACTAACTTGTGAATATGACTTTTGAGGGAGCTTTGTGACTCTACAAAAACTTCAATGAACAATAAAAAACTTATCTTATTTAATATTATTTCCTAGTCTTTGCTTAAAAAGTAACTTGTACAATTTATTTGATTTGCATATTAGATTATTCTTTGTTCTTGGATATGCAGGATTTTTCAGGGCCAGAGAGCTGTGCAACATTACGAGATCAGATATTACCTTTTACGATACTCATGTGGTAATTCAATTAGAAGCCTCAAGACTGACATATACAGAAGGGACAAAGAGATGCTTCAGCTGCAGCCAATGGCTGGTAGATCCTTGAAGGCTCATGGACGGTGGAAGAGTGAAATAGCAGAGGACGGCTATGTTAAGGACAGGACAGAAAAGGGTCTATTTGTACATAAAACGGTATTGAAATCAAATATTTTTTTTCTTTACATTTTTCCCTCAGACGTTTTTTATTCGAATCTGGCTAACATTGTCGCCTCCTCTATATTTGTGTTTGAGTTGTTTTTGTATATGTAAAGAGAATATGAAATAATTTATGTTCGTCTGAGCGAAGCGAAAGAGAACATAAATAAATTTCTTTTCGGTTACATTAATAATGTTTGGGGGAAAATTGGTGTTCCTGGGGGTCGAACCTGGTTGCTTTGGTGTGCGGGGAGGCGTGTGCGTTGATTTGGTTATCCAGTTGGTTCATATTGCGTTGGTACTATTTATTTATCTCACTTATGTGTTTCACTAATTAAATCTATTTTAGGGTCTATTTTGCGGCAAGCGGTGATTCGGTCTACGGGTATTTAAACTCGTGTTTTATGTTCTTTTGTCATTCGACAAAAGTTAGCCACGACTTATCAGTTTTCCAATTTTCTTTTACTTTTATTTAATGAAACAGAATTCTTTTGTAGATTGATGCTTAGTTTCTTTGAAGTAGATCCGATTCCTAGTCTGGAGTTGCATAGCATTTTGGTTGGACCAATCCTGGGCTTGCCTATGTGGAATACAATTGCTAAAATCGCTCTCGAGATTTTTTTTTCTCCCTATTCATAAATGAAAAACTGTTTTGTAGTGGTTCATAGCTACATAGCTACATTTAGCGGAAATGTGTTTTCATTTAGTGTTTACAGATATTTCTAATATGTTTTTGCACAGCTCTACTTAAACAAGTCAATTTATTGTACATTATAATTAGTGACATTTTTTCGTTAAGTTTGTGAGAATGAGTCCGCCATTCATTTCGTTTACCTCGCATTTGCTGCGGACTTACAGGTTTCCATAGTTTTTTCAACATCAATGTTGTTTTTTTCTATGGTTTTTCCTGGGCGGCGAGGGAAGCATAATTGTGTTCATACATTCAGTTATGGAGGTCAAAACAAGTGACACATACATGTATAACATCGTGTTATAATAGTTATCTTCTTGTTCTGTGATATTTGATCATCTATTTTTTCGATACATTGTAGAAGGAAGGTAAAGAGTTGGTACCATCGAAGACACGTGTTTGTAAATTTATAAATACGTGTTGTAAATGCGGCAAGCAAGCGCTTCTGTGTGGACGCACATAAGGACGCGATAATATTTGTACCAATCAGTTTTATTAAATCTGGCTAACATTGTCGCCTCCTCTATATTTGTGTTTGAGTTGTTTTTGTATATGTAAAGAGAATATGAAATAATTTATGTTCGTCTGAGCGAAGCGAAAGAGAACATAACTTTTAAAAGATAAACTTGTTACAATTAACATAGCCCACCATCTAGCCTCTAAAGACATCCATATATACTATTTCCCCTTGTGGTTGATTGCATGTAGAAAAATTTGCATAATGTAAGCTTGGATACAAAGTTCGATAACTTAAATTACGTCCCTTTGAACAACGTAGTCAAAACGATCTTTACTCTTTGCTTTAAATTATGCTAATGTTTGATAAATGCTAACTAGTAATAAGATTGTATACTATATAAGATTTGAGAGAATCGCTCTATAATGATAGAGTTTGAAAGTCAGAGTGAATAACGGCAATGTCCCCTGTAAAGTTTGCTCTTAGTTGTGAGTTTATCTCACAAACCAAGCACTGCTAAGCAGTAATGAAAAGCGCGCTTGATTACTCATCAAAGTAATTGTTCACTTTGTATGATTTACTTTTAGTATCAAGATTCAAAGTATTTATTGGTTAATTAGATAATGCATAAAGCATTACAATGCGATGCAATGCAACACAGTTGTAACTTAATTTTTTCGCATATTATACACTTTCATGTATGTGAAAATACATGTAATTGTAGCTTTATTATAGCTCAGTTCTTGCTACATGTACTGTTATCAGAATAAATTCCATTTATCCGTCCTGCAGCTTATTTGCATCACGTTCAAAATGTTCATGTTCACCCTTTTTTTCTTAGAAATCTCAATTAAATAAAGTGTTAGTTTCAACCAGAAACTTGATGGGATATTTTTATTCATATTTAACACATATGTTTGTTCTCTTTCGTGTGAATTTAAAGTTTCGTTTTGCTGCTTTTTATGTCAAAGGACTAGTTTTGGGTAAATGAAGATTAAAAAAGATATAAATCTTTTGTTTCACTAATGAGTGAATATTTGAGAGTGATGCGGATAAGCTTCGGGAAGGATAAACGGAATTTATTCTGATAACGGTAGTAAAAACTGAGTACTCATCAAGATACAATGAACATTGTATTTGCTCTATGTACTGTCTAATTAAAACATACTTGGCTGTATTTATTATCAACTTTGAAATTAAATCAGACAAAACAACGAAAAATTTTGTAGACCAATCAATCGCTTATTCCTGAATTCAGAGTCATCAGCAGTCTTTCTTTCCATCGGTCACTGGAGTAATATACCATTTACTGTTGTCAACGCCTCCAGCCTGGAGGGTTCTAAGAACAGCACTGGATCAATCAGAATGATTTTCTTGTAATTCCAACATAATAATAATTGTTTTTAAATAGTTCGTTGTATCCATTTTGGCAAGTGTACAAAGTGACAATCACGACATTACACCTCAAGATGGCTTTTGATTTAAAGGAAGAAGGAGAAAGTGCGCTTTTCATTACTGTTTAGCAGTACTTGTTAAGTGAGTTCAACCCACACTAAGAGCACACTTTAAATGCGCCATAACTGTTATCATTCAGACTTTCGAAGTTGATCATTTTTCAGTGACTCTCTTGTCTTATATAGTATACAAGCTTACTGTTCCTTAAATTGCCTAAACATTTGCATAATAGAAAGAAGATAGTAAAGATCGTTTTGTCTTCGTTGTTCAAAGGGACGTAATTTGAGTTATCGAACTTTTGTATCAATTTCATTATGCAAATTTTCCAAAATATATACAATCAATCACTAGAGAAAATTGTTTATATAAGATGTCTGTATATGGCAAGTTGTGGGTAATGTGTGCTTGTTAGAATATAAGAAAAACTGCATCATACTGCTATCTGCTGCGACTCATTTTATCATTTTAAACTAAAGATTATCATCTGAATTTGTTTCATTTAAACTCCGCACATACAACATTGGTGAAAAGGTATGTTATATCTATGCAATTTTACGATCACAGTTTTTCAGAATTGAGCTATTTCAAAATTAAACATCTCTAACATTTAAAAATAGCAAATCAAATTTACATGTAATGTTGCATTGAATGAGTTGGACAGGTTGAATGATAGAGCGAGTTTCTATCGGTATCACCAAATTAAATTGTTTTGTTTTGTTTTTTAATTAATGAACGATAAAATTTATCTGCAATTTTGCAACAATCAAAATTCTTAGATGGATTAGAGCATAAGATTCTTTAGCTTCGGTTAACAGGTAACATGATAATTGAGTGAATTCCTTTCATCAGTTAATGAATTAAGGAGGAATGCCACACCAACTTTTTATTTTATAGACTCTGAGTCAACCTTTTTAAACAATGGTTTCAGCATTGAAAGGCCGACATTAGCTCTCAATTATTTTATATGAATTTTTTTGTATTTTTTCAAAGAAAATGAAAAAAAAATATTTACATGAAAATAAGACGCTTTCTTGTAAAAGGTTTGCTGTAAATGAATGCATCACATTAATATCTAATAAAATATGTGAAGAAAAGCCGTATAGATATTAAAAAATTTTTAATAAAAAATATTTATGAAAATAAAACACATAATTTGTGAATATTTTTTAAATTTGTGGTTAAAATCTTCTTAAAACCAGTCACAACTAGGGAGAACATGTTCGTTAATCATATATATAAGAGAAATTGAAACAAAATAGCGAAATTTTAGAGAAATTATTTTTTTAATTTTGGCCAATCCCAATCAAAATTAAACCGATCCCAACCATAATTGTACAAGTATTGGAAATAAATAACATTTCCCCAAGAACACAAGTCTGATTAGGAGTAATAAGGTTAAAACATTATTGAACTTGACAATAAAATGGATTTCTTCATTGTAAATACATGAAGAGGCAATAAATAAGTAGTTTATTCATTTTGTGTTAATTTCGACCGGGATCAGTTTAATTTTCATCGGGTTAGGTCCAAATATTAAAAAAATTAATTTCTCTAAAATTTCTCAATTTCATTTCAATTTCTTTTTTAAATATGATTGACAAACATGTTCTCCTCAGTTATGACTAGTTTTATGGTGTTTTTAACCATAGGTTTAAAAAATATTCACAAATAATGTGTTTTATTTTCATAAATATTTTTTATTTAAAAAATTAAAAAGTCTAACCAGCCTTTCTTTACATGTTTTATTAGATATTAATATGATACATTCATTTACAGAAAACTTTTAACTCGAAAACATCTTAGTTGGATATAATTAATTTTTTTCATTTTCTTTGAAAAAATGCAAAAAAATTCAAATAAAATAATTGAGAGCTAATATCCACTTTCAATGCTGAAACCCTTGTTTAAAAGGATGACTCAAAGATCTATAAAATAAAAAGTTGGTGTGGCATTGCACCTTAAATTACCGCTCGGTATTGGATTTATTAAAACGTAGGGTTTAAAAAAGAAAACAAGGTATTATATTCAGATGCAAAAAACAAATCTCAATATAAATACGTTCAGGGTATAATAAATACTCTAATATATTTTGCATAAGATTGCGAGGAACATTGTTTTGAATTTTACATTCAGAAATACATGTATATAAAACTGGAAAGAGGCAATCCAAACAAATATTTTACACTTCTCTCTCTGTATGAGGGTGTTTTGAGTACGCACATGCGTGTGAGTGTGTGTGTGTGTGTGTGGGAAGGGGTGAAGGAGGGGTGTGGAAAGGGAGATGACAAAACTGAATTCCTATACAGTTTTACTTATATGTGGATTATGTTCAGGCAGCAATTCATCATAAGATGAGACACTGTTGTGGAAAACATTTTCCGTCATAATTCATAAACACACGATGCAAGAACAGAAAATATATATTTTATTTAGAAACTTAACATTTTTCTTTTTCTTATATGGTAACTATAATAAGTGAATTGTACAAATCATGTGTATATTATTTCACCAATGGGACGCTTTCTTCACACATTTTTGAATTATAAACTATGTATTAATAGAATTCTCCCACAATTTAGTGAAGGCTAAAGAAACTTCGCAGCCTGGTAAGAAATCCACGCTTCCCTTTTTTGTCTTTCTTCTGTAAAAATAAATCATATAGAGTCAAACATTTGTAGGAATCGGTTTTATGAAACACAATAATATTGTTTAGATACTAGAATAAATCAACAGGAAATACATTGAATTAAAAACATTGAAACAGGATGTTTACCTGTTTGCTTGCTTTAACGCAACACAGAAATCGTCGCCAGCCTTTCACTGTTGGCACTGGATCGTCCTCCTCCTGAGAGTGACAAAAATTATTCACAATACTTCGGTCCAGATATTAGTTTTTTTTCATTTATTTTTATGCAGCACTTTTCCGTCTTTAAAAGAACAGTAATTTTTTTTTTTTAGATATTTAAGTATTACGTGCAAAAAATTGCTTATAAAGTACGTACCAATTCGTTGTTAACATCTGCTTCTGACGAAGTCTGTAAGCTACAAGTAAGAGACAGGAGAAATCAAACAAATGACTCGATTTTTGCATCAGATTCTTTTAATTTAATTAATGAAAATATAAATTATCAATTCATCTACAAAGTCTGAGAACAAACCTTGCTGCACCCGTAAACAAGTCTTCAACGACCTCCAATGCTGTGTTGTACATAATCTAAACAAGAAAGTAACTCATTTTAATATTTTTTATAATAGGAAATCGTGAAGTAGTTAAGTTTTGCATTAAAAAGGAGTTGCAATATACAATATGAGCATCATATATTATTCTATTTTATGAATACCTTTTGCATTGCTAACTTCTCAGCATTCGTCTTCTCCAAGAGTGCTTTCAGTCTGGTGGTATATTCCTCAGATCTTACTAAGGTGGGTATATCCACGTCTATTTTAACTGATCTGTAAACAGAAAATCATCCAGTGAATAATTTGACACAATTTATAATGACAACTATCTATAATACAAAATGTTTTTCTTTTAAATTACACCTGCACATTTTTTGAATTATTCCTAGTATATTCTTTTATGTGAATCCTATATAGTGAACATTGATTTGGTCCGTATCGATTACAGTAAAAAAATCTTAATTTGGAATCATTAATGAAAATATATTCCACATTGTTACAAGAGACAATTCCCTTTAATTTACTTTGAGTACATACCCAGCAATATTGTAATTATGAGAGGCCTGGATAATGAGGTCATTCACACATTCTTGTGCTGATTTGTACAATAACTGGCAATGAAAAAAGAAAAGAAATGTAATCTACTATCGACAATGAAAATGTTTATTACAATATTATTATGATTTTTATTTCTACCTACGTCTTTCAAACATACAGTGCCTTTATAAAATTAATATATATATCCTGATGTATTATTAAGAATATCTTCTAAGTAATTATAAGGATTTAAGTTAGAAAAAAATACTGCTGTGTTTATTGTATCAAGTTTGAATGTAGAGTAGATCTTTAGAATAATATAAGGGTGTGTAAAGCTACCAATAATTTTTAAACCTTTTGATTTATTTTCTTCTCGTTTTCATAGAACTCCTGCGTGGCCATGATTCTTGCTTCCTCAAACTTTGAACGGGTGGCCGGAAAGTTTAGGAAGTATTGTTCAATTTCGGAGGTTGTCATATTTTTAATCTAAAGAAAATAAAAGTCATTGTAAGTGAATAAAATATTCAGAATGTGTGAGTACAGTATAAAATTTATAATATAAAATATTATTTGACATTAATATTTCTTCTATTATTAGATAGATACCTTTTGTATTTTAATTTTCTCATTGTACAACAATTCTTGGTAGGCCCTCTGTCGTAAGTCATCATTTGCAGATCGGAGCAGGGAAGTTGTTACAAACTGTCCCTCGTTTGAACTAAATAAACTGAAAGATTTTTTTAAATCTTTACATATACGAGTAACACTTATCAATATATTCTCATTTAGATTTTTTTTAATTTAAAACTTCATGGGTTTAATTATGCTTTTGTAATATACAAATGGAAAAAAGGTTGTCATACACCCTTTCACATTTTTTTTCAACTCTGCAACTTTTTGAAATTCAAATTTTATCTTAAATCATTTAACTTTTCTTGAATTATCATCAGTTTAAAGGCTAATTTTATATTTTAATGCTGGCCGACTGTCAAAAAACATATCAATAATCGATTTTATTTTTTTTTTCAACTATAGGGACTGTAATTCATCGTTTAGTGTGTATCTACCTGGGGAAATCATAACGACGAGTAGTGGCACGTGTGATCAGGTCACTAACATTTTCCTGTGCTGCTTTGTTCAATAACTGTCAATAAAGAAATTATAATCTGTTTAATTGTGTTTGACACCTAAGCGTAAATTGTTTTAAATAAGTTCTAATTATAATTTAAATTAGTCATATTGTGCAATAAATAAAATTATTATTGAAAACTTTGGTGATATGTTCCTTCATTTTATGGTTATTTTTGGGAAAATCTTAATTTAAATGTAATATTACTAACGTATTTATATACCACCAGTGTTGCTCTTCTTTGCTTTGCGTAAATATTTTTTGTAGCTACGATTCTCTTGTCGGAAGCTCCCAGCAGGGCGGGGGTCATTTTTCTTATCTCTTTGGCATCACTAAATTGGAAAAACAGCAATGTTCTCATCACTGGAACTACTCAATAAGTTTTTGTTGGTTTCATATTTGTTAAAAATGACAAAGTAATAAATTGTCAAAAAAATATTTTAGATCTTGATTACTAGTTTTTAACAAACCTGTACTCAGTAGCAGAATAAATCCTTGTTACTCGATCAAATAGTTCATCAAGGATGCTTCGCACTACCTAGAACGATATCAAATGTTAAATGTATGATTTAATCAGTTGTAGCTTTATGAATTCTGTCTTTTTCTGGTCATATTAATTAATGAAATTAGAAGAATCATTTAAATTTATAACTTCTTACCATTTCTGACTCATTGTTTTGAGTTTTCCACCGCAGACCTTTTTCGGCATTTTTCGAGCTGCTCTCTGTTTTTGATGGCTTGCTAATATTGGTAGCCTGCGGGGTGCTTCGTGGATTTCCCTCCGCCTGTGTTTTTGTTGCATCGTCTGTTGTTATATTTCCACCCTTCTTACTTTTGCTGCGTCTTCTTCTGCCTCCTGAGGATCCCCTTTTCTTCTTTAAAAGTTGGTAAAAAATATTTTATAACATTTCGGCTAGTAGATATATATACCTAATTAAACTCTCCCTTAATCACCACCATTATCTTATTTTCTACAGAATCCAATACGATTTTAAACCTGCTATTAAATATTAGTTTATTATCTTAATGTATTACCTTGTTTTCAAGGTCTCTCAGAGACAAGGTGCCATTCCTGAGACATTCCCTCAGTTTTTCAGGGTTCTACAATAAAAACACAAATTTTAGAAGATGTTAATTCACTGAATATATATACAATTATACATACATGTACATGTACTAGTATATTTATGCAATTGCATTTTTTGGACTTATTCTTAATCAAACTTAACTCAATATGAGTTTAAGTTGTATTATAGAAATGAGTAGATCAACTTTTGTAACATAGATAAAGAGGCATAACTCTGAAAATTAAACATCACTGACTTTTGACACTACCCTTCACAATCATTAAACTTTGACACCATCCCCCATTAATACCAGCATATATACTACGCGCGCGCCAATTGCAAATTCTTTCTGGAAATTCTTCTCAACAAAATTAAATTCTTCCCTTATGTTCTAATGTAGATAGCTTTAACAAATTTGAATGGTATTACGGCTGTATCATTTAACAATTCAGTTAAATAAGGAATTTATTTTAAATACGTTTCATACAGCCTACCTCCGACGAGTTTGCCATCAAAAAAGTATACAGGTAACATGGGAAAGTCTGCTGTTACATAATAGCTGCTAAACCGTGCATTATGACGACATTGATATAGTGATGGCATTGATATTGTGACGTCATTCGCTTGAATTTGATGTTATATTTGTTTTGTTTTTTTTTTTCTAAATATCTTAACAAAATAAACACAAACGTTAAAATAAAATTACCTTTTAGGCCAATATACCACTAGGTATGGAAAACAGTCATTATAGCTATGCAGCTGCTAACTTGAATTCTCTACCAAATCATGCATTTAAGTTCTGTCCACCCTCAGCCAATTTAAAACTTTCAAAGTTTTTATGTTGTTTTAATATTGCAGTTTCCTGCATGAAACAACAGCGTGGGGCTGCATAAATATCAATATATTTAAAACAGTTGAATTTTCATTTATTTTTGAAATCTTTCATTTTCTCATTTTCAACAATATATTTTATTTCATTGTTTTCTATGTTTTTTTTCCAAACTCACAATATTATATGACGCTATGTAGCTTTATGACCCAATCACTAGGCAGGATGTGTATTGATGAATTACATAAATTACTTTAAAATTATTATTATTAGATTTAGAGAAAAAAACAATTTGGTTTAGCTATGTCTGTGTGAATTTTAAATTTCCAAACTTTCAGAGAGAGAGAGAGAGAGATCAATTATACAGCCTTTTTTTTATTTATTTATTTTTAATATTATTAATAATACAATTAGTTATTTTTATCTGAATTTATGAATTAAACTTAGGCTTAATTTTATTACATGTACTATCATATTACTTTTTTTTTTATTTATAATATATTATATTTATTTTTGTTTCTCTTAATGCAATCATATTGCTTTTCAAGTTGTCTATTTTTCTTTAACTTTATCTAAAGAAACTATAAATTCTTAAAATTTGTTAAATTCTTAAAATTCATTTTATCTGTCATAATTTTTGTATGTGTATATATGTCAAAATTTTTGATTAATTTATGTGTACATTCTTTCTGTGATATTTTAACTGTGTATACACAAATTTTTCCTCTTTAGAATTTAATATTTACGTGTTACCCTTTAAAAAAGATATAAGTATATTTTATTTTATCTGCAATTTTACTTTTTCCTCAATAAAACTAGGGATTATAACCATGACCCATAACATACTAATTTCAGTAAGTTTTGATAATCTTTAACCATTTTCAGATATACAATGTTGTTTGTTTAACTTGTTTTAACATTGAAGTTTTTAACTGATAAATGGCTTTAGCACATCTAAGTAATAATTTGACCACTAAATTTTTAAAAAGAATGTTTAAAACGTCTTGTACCTTCATTTTTTAATTTTTAAATTCTAATTTATTTTTATTACTGAAAATTCAGCAATTCTTAATTGTAACTTCTAATTTGCATAATGATTGAAACATGGACATAACTATACCAATTTATCTTGACGTTTGTAAAAAATTCAAAGACAAAATATTCCTCTCTTTTCAATCCCCACTTCTTGGTTAGCGAAGATGAAAATTCATTTCCAACATGATTTCATGACAGAAAATCTAAATGTACATAAAAATATATTGCTTTCAAATTTTTCTCTGTGATATCGTCCAAAAAAAATGAAAATAGACCCAAATGAAATTCTAACAGGAAAAATAGCACTGAAAATAAGTTGGTACCAATATCAATAATTTAACAAAATCATATGATTTTTTACGTTATTTTGACCAAAAACGTTTTTCTGTCAAATAATCTCTTTATACAAAAAAATATCTCAAAAGAATTAACGAATTCTCGCCGATGAAATTTTAGCTATAACTTCTGTTTGTTTACTAAATACACTTCTTTAACTGTCAAGAAGGACAAATTCCTACAAAACTTGGTCGATTAAATGCAAAAGATTTAATTTTCCCGTCTAATGACGTCAAAATTTTTTTCTTGTGACTTTTTAGTACACTTTTCTGTTATCCTTGGACTCTCAGTAAGGCCTGGTATTCTCGACGTTACATAATCAGCGTTTTAAAAAATTTACATAGCTTTCATTCTCTGTTGAAATATACATGGGATAGAAATTCGGGCGAATGTCGATGAATGTAGAGAATATCCAATAACAGCGCCTCGTACCGCAAAGAAGTGGGGTTTAAGTCGTCTCATCGTTATCAACAACAATTTAAGGTTCCTGGTGTTAATAATTTCAAGGTCCAAGGATGACAGAGATTTGTACTAGTTGTTTTGATTAATTGAAGTAAAAATAGGATTATTTACACTGATATACAACAACTGATGCAACAAACGAGTATACATATTTTATTGTGACAGTCCATTAATGTGTGTCACAGCAATCCGAAAACATTGAATGACTGCACATCCGAGAATGATGTTCTTTGCTTTGCAACCTATAAAATAAAATTGGTGAAATATATAATTAACACAATAAGTTCTATAAGAAATGAAAGGTCTTTCACTCGAGTATGAGATCAGGAAAGGGCCACGCAGCTCACTATTGCAACATTGAACATTGACTTCAATGGTCGATGACGCAATAATGCAATAACGATGATGCAATGGTGCGATAACGTACGATGATGCAATGGTGCGATAACGTACGATGATGTACGATGATGGAACGGTTCGAAAACGATTTTGCGATCATGGCGAGAGTGCGACAATAAGATGACGATGAAGCAATATTGCGAATATCAGTTCATCACCATTGTATTATTGCATCATCGCACAACCGTTTCATCATTGTCACATCAATGATTCATCTTGTCGTCGTATCATCGTGCTATCACTTTTATTGCGATATCGTATTATCGACCCAAACCTCGACGTGCATTAATGCGATAGTGAAATACATGGCTTTATCCCGATTTCATACTTGAGAGCTTTGCCATATTGTAAATTTTGAATTTACCAGGTGGTAATAAATACAAAAATTTACAACATGGCACCCAGTTAATTCAAAATTTACAATATTAAAGCTACATTGAACTCTACATTTACTTTACCTATACATGTAGTTGTTGACAGAATATACATAGAAATACTCTCCGTGTGTTTTATTTCCACCTCAATAGCCAAGTATAACCTCTGGCAACTTAAAAAGATATAAAGTTGATTTTACTCCATGTAAATCATTAGGCACACCTCGGCCGATTACATCAAATGATGTAGGGTACGGTAGTCAGCAAGGTGAGCCAAATGGATGTAAATTTAATTTTTTCCAAACACTATAAAATCAGAGTAGGAAGCTAAACTTACCTGTTCAGCTTTGCTGTTTGTTTCTGACATTGCGTTCAGTATCTTGTTGTTACCGCTGTTGATTACCCTCTCTTTAAATGATGTCACTGTGTGATTGCATTCACCAACAGCACAGTCGGGATCGTTCGCTATGCATGCTTGATACTATGAAAAATTTACAAAGTTAATTATATATGGTAAAAAAAGAGAACTATAGTATTTATCTTTTGTATGTAAATACTTCATCATTCAATGAACATTCCGGAAAAAGTCATTACAGTACATGTACCAGTATTTTGACTTTTTTTGAAACTATAACATGTTGTGATAAGATAAAATTGATAGGGTATACATATTAATTGCAAAAAAGATAATTTTTGGAAAATAATTCTAGATCTGGTAGAAGTTGTCTATGAGATGCTTTTTTCCCTCCGTACTGCGCAATCTAGTCCTAATTGGACATATCAAACAATTTCCAGAACAACTCTAGTCTGTGCGTTAGATCTAGATTTTTAGACAATGTCGGATTTGTGTGGGGTCAGTCTTTGATTACTCTCCAGTACCTGTTTGTAGATATGTGTGTCCATGCCCTGCTCAATCAAGTACACCGCTATGTCCTCTTGACCTTTGTCCACACAGTCAAAGAGCACGTGACTGTAGCGGTTTAAGTTTCCATACATCAGCACCCCCTTAACTAGGTCCTTAACCTTGGGCAAGTTGTTTTTCTGTTACGAAAAAAAAAGAAACAGTGCACACGGACCTCCTGTCCTTGCAGTGTTAAAAAATTCCATCTCTCATGCCCATAACTTTATAATACAGAATTTTTTTCTCCAGCAAATGGTCGATTCAACAATTTGCCGTTTATTCCTAAAAGGTAATATAAGTTCGTTGTAGAAATTGATAATTATATGAATTTCTGAAAAAATTAATTAAGCTTCATTATAATATACAAGATACCTTCACAGCCTCCATAAATGTCCGTTCGAATTTGGTTTGTGCCAGGAACACGTCTAGTCTAAATTCCTGGATCTCCTTCTTTAACGCTAAGTACGCCCTCTGTCCGCAAACATCACATTGGTAGTCAACGCTTGTACGTTCGTGCTAAAATGGAACCAGCAGACATTATTTCTTTTTCTCAACCTCCCCCCCCCAAGTTTTTAATTACTTCCAAACAATCATGAACAAGTTTAATTTTTCATAGATTTACTTACATGTATATTGATCACCGATACTAAAATTTGTCTAAAGCATACAAGAAAAGGGGTGGGGTGTCGAATATTTTATTTTTTTCTGATTTTTGTTCGATTTAAAAAAAATTAATTACATGAAAACCTCTTTGTCGAGGAATCGCGAAACTAATTCAGTTACTTAAAAGCTACTAGTACGTTCTACAAATGGCGTGCTGTCCTACTTCCATAAAATAAATGTGAATTTTATTCCTAGAGGTACTGCTACAGTCTTAACCTTCAGACGTATGCCATTCAATTTTAATTTATACAGTGTATATTTTCCATGTTCAGTAATTCTTACCACGTCTTTGATATCAACTGATGTTCCTTTTTCAATCATGAAATCTATAACTTTAGTGCCTTCTAGAAAAATTTCTGCATAGTGTAATGGTGTTCGTCCAAGCTACAATAAATACAATTCCTTTAAGAATTCTAAATCAGATTGTTTCCACAGTTTTCAACAAGGAGAAAAATCTTCCAAGCTACACAAATCTAATTAATTAATTTATCACACGAGATACAAACTCTCATAGCAATTAAGATGAGGGGGATGGAAAATAAAAATAAAAATCTACCATATAAAAATGATATCTAATTGTTAAAACATGTGACGACATAATCTTTAAATATTTTTCAAAAGTTTTAAATTACCCCCACAGGGACCTCTATACTAATTTTTTTCAATTATAAAGTGCACATGCACTTACATTATCTTGCATGTTGAGAAGTTGCGGGTAGTTAGTTGATAGATATTCTACAATTGACTTATGCTGGGACATCACAGCAATGTGAAGGACATTTCTCCCACATATATCCTGAGCACAGTAATACTTCCTTCCCAATAAATTCTTTAATTGCTGTAGATCGCCTTCGTGTGTAGTGTGGAATAATTTGCAAATGTGTTCCTGTAACAGAAAGGGATTTCTACAGTAAAATACGCTTGAAGCGAATCATTTGATATTGAAATCCTGTATACATCCATTAGTTATAATTATGGTTATTATTATCCAAAAAATGATTAAATTAAGCAAATATCTTTAAGGGAGAATTGTCATATTTCATTAATTATCGCATGGAACGAAATTTAACTTGTCTTTTATAACCGTATTTTAATTGACGATGTTGCCATTGCATAGAATAAACTGAATTTTATATTATCATATTGCATCAAAATATATATACTGTACCTGAACATTGTTAAATTTGTTCATTGTTTCTTTTAGTTGTGTAGAATCACTATTTCTTGCAACCCCGAGGGCGGTCACCCCATCCTTATCCCTCGCTTTCAGAATTCGATCATATCCCAACAGAAACATATCCTCAACACGTGCCATATCACAATCCCGAACGAGGTTGATCACGTGATTATCTAAAAGCTTACAATAATGTAGTTTTTTCTCTTTCTTTGCAATATCATATGCTGTAAATCCTTGTTTATCACGCAGTCCTATCCGGATTCCTTGACTGAGTAGAAAATTAATCATTACTTCTGACGCGTTGTGTGAAATGGCTTCAAACAATACTGTTCGTCCATTGAGATCTCTGACGTTAAGATTGGAACCACGTAATATCCGGTAGGCAATTTCATCTGATGGTTTGAAAGGACCACTAAGAACCTACGAGTAAAAAGGAAGAAAAAAACTTTATTTTTTAAATTAGTCAGGATGTGTACTTTAAGGTTCATTGACTTACAATAGGAGAGATAACTCTCGCTATGATAGATTTGTCTTGTTTAATTTAAATGTCAATTTCTCGCGCAGGGGATGCTGCAATTATGTGATTTATCAAATTTAATTTCTTTACGTTTGAACAATTTCTAAAACGAGGCAAGTTATTAACAATCAAGTTCATGAAGCAAGAATATCAACAGTCTCTTTAAATTCATCATTTCGTAAGTTCTATGGTCGATACTACGACCTTGTGAAGAAATACAAGTATAACGTATCATTAAGTCAAATGGTAAGTGACTTTTCTGCATACTGATAGTTTGGCAATTATTTACACAATGAATTATCGACGGATTTTTCTGTTGGTTCCCTATCATTACAAGGAGCACAGTGCAGGTGTGACCTCTCGGTAGGGGATGCTTACTCCTCCGTGGCACCTGATCCCACCTCTGAGGTTTTAGAGAGCACCCAAATTTGTATTGTTTAATGGACTTTGAACTTGAATTCTATTTGTTATCTCGATATTTTTCCATTTTGAAAAAAAGTAAATATTAAAAACAAATTTAAATATATGTGTGTAAACCGAGGAACGATGAATCTTTAACTCTTATTGTATCATTTTTCAACCTCATTACTTAAACTGCTACATGTATATGTGCAAAAAGACCTGAAAACAGATTTTGAATTGTAAATATTAGAAACGGAACACTTCGGGATTCCCTGCAGTAATTACATGTATATAATTAAACAATATATTATTCTATTTACATGTAGGTTGTGGACCTCGGATTGATTAATTCTAGCACATACCATGAAATCATTGTCTTTACTCACAGAATTAATTGTAATCACGCACAGGGAATAAGGAAATCGCGTAGGGAATACGTGAAATATTGCTGGGTATATACTTAAGATTCTGGAGTTGTACATAACTAAGTACATAAAAATTGGTTTTCATGCACGAATATATAACATGTATAAAGTACAGATCTATATACTGACTAGATACACGTGTAGGTGTGGGGAAAAAAGGACATTGAATTTTTAAAAGTATTTGTAGATGAAGGCCTGCACGAATAAAAAAAAAGTACATTTAGTTTATTATCAATTATACATTAATTTTTAACGTAACTAGAAAAAAAATGAAAAAATAAAATGAAACACTGAAGAATAACTTAGCATGTATCCATACTATACAATACCGGTATATACTTGTAACAAATACAACGTATACTATAGCTGCAGATCTGTAGCATTATGGTTTTACATATTTGTCTTTGATAGATCTGCAGCTACGTATACTAGTACAAGGAAATCACATCAGGGGTCAGGATCATGAAACAGACTTTAGCTTAAGTCATTTTTTTTAAATTTCCTGTGAATTGTTTATAATTTTTATTTTAATTAATCTCAAAATTTGCAAATAAAACACTTTTCTGTTTTATGTTTCATGACGCCGGGGCCTGTGGCGTAATTTGCATGAATTAACAAAACAGCCCTGTTTTCATATCATTGGGCTTTCAGTGGACACTCAATGCACGTTAAAACTTCGTTGATGAGACAAATTCGACCTAACCAGTCGCGCTTTCTTTCATCGCTGACAGGTACTCACCTGATTATAAACGCTGGCTATTCTTTAGATGTACTAATTCATCTAAAATCTTTATCTGTTACAAAACCTCAGTTAAAAAGATGGCCCTGAATTTGCATAAATATAATCCAGATTGCCACCAACGTTCTATGTGCGTACTTCAAAGGGACGTGAGTTAATTTAGTTGTTTAGAAGTGACAACGTTCTATGTGCTTGGATATTTCTGCTGCGGTGACGGGCTACTTTCGTATAAAAGTTCTAGATAAATAATAAGAGCTTCAAAAACTGTATATAGATTCTCCAATTGCGGGTCACGGACGTGAGATTAAAAAGTTAAGTTGTAAAAATTAAAATTGTGACTTTTTTTTATCCTAATACATTTCTTTTTATTCTGCATACTGCAATTTGTTTTGTCATAATTGTTTTTTAAATGATTCAAACATATATCTGTGGTTGTTTTACTTTTTTTCCAAGCTGCAATTTTTTTTAAAATTACATCAAATTGTTTTTTAAATGAAACTGAACTTTTTTTCCAAGCTGCATGAATTGTTTTATGTCTCAACATTATAAAAATCGTGTTCCGAAACGTTCTAGATGAGACAAATTTGTATCTCTATACAAGTGTATGTTATTTGAATATTGTAGAAATGACTTGAATTCAAGTTTAAAATTAAATCAGCATTCTTTGAGCAGTAATGAACATTATTTATTTATAAGTAATAGACATGATATTAGAAATATGAAATATTGCGGGTTGATTCCTACAAAGCATTATGAATTGACCCGGGCCGTAAAGCGTTTAATCGAGGAAATACATATAAATAATTACTTTGTTGTAATTCAATTCTACATGAATGTATTTGTATATTATAATTAGTAAGGTTTTAAAATATACAATTATGGTATTAAGGTTTTTGTTGAGAGACATCATAATTCCACTGACTGAACAGGTTTCAGACACAAAATAATCACGGTGTCATTTAGTCTGGAGTTGTCTCCATGTGAGCAGGACAGAATTGAAAAATAAATATTCGACTTCAAACGCCACCATTTAGTTGAGGTAAGCACTTATGTAGGAGTGAAGTCTCATCTTTATTCTAGAAATTAACAATCTGATCAATGTTACGCTGAAAAATGATACCAGCGACCGTAAATGCGGGATGATGACACTTACGACAAATCAAACTTTCAAAATTCAGACCACCTACTCCCTCTTGTCAAATTGCAGGCTTAAAATGTTCTTTGATACGACATTAGGCCTTGATAAATGATAACTCTAAATGAAATATTAAAGCATATATTTATACATGTATTTGGTAATCATCATATGGTATTGTAGTTAAAGTTAGCCCCTATGCATTTTTAGATATTGTTTCTTCTTTTCGGTATACTAGTGTATCAAACTAGAGGAATCACCCTCGCAAACGCGCGATCGGCAGCTCGTATGAAAAGCGAAAAATCAAACCGACTGAAATTAATTCGCTTAAAAAATTCATATAATTCGGGAAAAATGAAAGTAAAAGCATAATTATGCAGGAGCAATGCCTACTTACGTGGAAAAAGAGAGGCTTTGGTTTTTCTTTGTCGGGTTCGGATGAGAAGAGTACACTGGTGTCGGCGCCAAGCTCCATCATTATGTCCACTGTCTCCAGACATCTCGTCTCCCAGACGGCCACCAAGAGGGGACGAGGGGCAATGGGGGTATTAGGGGCCGAAAACTGGTAACTGTAATCTTTGGTATTAACATTGATGTTGACTATAATTTCTGTAACCGAAATAATACTTTATATGTTGTACATGTCAAAAAATTAAATAAAATAGATATGCAAATGAAGACCTGTACACAATTGAAACGAGGTGAATAAATGGGCGGGACATTTTTTTTTTTTTTGCATCTTATTCAACTCCCCCCTCCCCCCCCCCTTCTGATTCTCTCTTACAAATGAACATCAAACTTACGATCCTTAATCCACTGTCTAATAAGCTTAGCCTCGCACTCAAGCAAGGCGGGGATGAATTCGTTTGTGTTTTCGTACTCTTCTATCAGTTCCACGAGATTCCGCCCATAAGCCGTCTCCAGTAGTCGGGACTTAAGATGTATTGTGCGGCGATTCTTCACTACGGTTACACGGCACCAAAACTTTAACAGACGACGTATGAGCTCCCTGTCTGGATTGTCTTCTTGAAGAGCGCGGTACAAACCTAGGCAAGAGAATGAAAAATGCGAAGATAACGATCAGGGATAATAAAACACGGACCCTGGAAAATTCAGAGATCAGATCGTGTGCCTAAGAGGAGTAAGCAAACCCTGCTGACCGATCGAAGCCGGCGTGAGCCATATTTACTGATGAGATAGGCGGAAAATTTTGTATTCAAGTTCAATGAAAAAGAAGGGCCTTACAATTGGTATGAAATAGGTCAGCTAAAATACAGTCCAGTGATATGTTATATTTTTACTAACAATGTCATAATAACGAAATGCCAACTTTGAACGAGGTTGTTGAGATCCCTGTAACATCAACTTGTTTGTCAGTAGCCTTTCTCGGTGTAAAAAATTGATCATTCCTGGAGCATGAAAAGATATTGTTTTAAAGATTTTTTTAAGAATGCCTAAACGGAGAGCAAACCAAAGTTGACAATTTTACGAAAGCAAATAAATTTAAAAGTTTTGATCTTGGCGACCCTAAATAAAGCCTTTAAAAACAGCAGGTCGAAGTAATTTAACAGAATAAAACTTTTCAGGCTATGTTCATCAAACTGAAAAAAAATACTGGAAAGATAGAACGAAAGTCCAAAAACAAGTTTCTCAGACTTGAAATAAAATGAATTGGGTGAACCCCCTTTTTTCGTCTGTTCTATATATACCACCGTTCGTCTTCGAATGAAGGAAAATTGCATTATAAAAATCCGGTTTTCGTTTGAAATGAATATTAAAAGTGCATATATGTTGGTCACTTATTCAGTGTTATGATATTTACCAGGTTTGAACATGTTGTAGTAATGGAGGGTCTCCTCCCACCCCTCGGGTTTCTCCTCCTGTAAAACATCGGCAGGTGACTGATTCTTCTTATTGCGAATTAATGGATCCGCCCCACTCCTATAAAAATTAATCCACAAAAGATAAAACAAAACGATTCTTTGATTATTGAATTCAATCTATGTCAATGCAATGTATTTTTTTTAATTTAAGTATATAGGACTTTAGACGAAAATATTGAAATGTGTCGATTTTAATTTTCCTGCATAAGAAAAATTATGCTATGCTTCTCATTTAGTGGTTTGTCAGTTCAAGATAGTTAACATGTACGTTATTTAAATGACATATTTAAACAAACGATTCTGGTTTAAGAAGCAGGAAATGAGAACGAAATTTTGTAAACGTAACAGGATGTTTTTAACACGTGTCCTTTGATGTGCTATTTTTTTTTTTTTTACAATAATCAAAAGTAAATTAATTACAGAATTTTTTTTTTAAAAATGCACCTACGTTATTTGTAGAATCGAAATAAACGAATATATTTTCGCAAAATACATTTACATATGCATATGGTTCCTTAATCATATTGCAGGTTTTTTATTTGTATCAAAATACGTGTGCAGGTTTGTCATAAAAAAGAGTGACATTTTTCTTTTAAATCAAAATATATCATTATACAATTAAAACTAAATCTAAAATTCATGAAGATAATAATGGACCATATTTTCATTTTAAAAAGTAATTATTTAATGACAATTTCATTACAGTCTTTTAACTATAGGTCGTGTCCTTACCGAATGACAGAAACCAGTACACGATGGGTATGTGGTTTCCGACAAATCTTGTGAAGAAACGTGTCCCCATTTATGTCAGCAATATCTAGATCCATGCCCTTACACGCCATCAAATATATGATCCCCACCCCACGGGCGGTGGTAAAGTGGCGGATCTCATCCGCCAGGAGGTGCATAAAACTCTCTCCCGTTTCTTCGTCTCGCGCATTAAGATCCTTGCCACTGTAAGCATAGTTGTAACAAGCATCAAACACTTCATCTGCATCGTCCGATTCTTTGAGAAGTTTGTATAACTTTCCCTCTCGTAATCTCGCCATTTCTCCTTAATATGAGGTCAACATACAAAGTGCAGACAAATTTATCGACCACTGTGCGGTAATAATCGGTTTTAATCCTGGAGGTGTTAGCGATTTGGTTCCTTTTTTTAGAATGTGAATGAATGCATATACAGAGTATTTACATTTTGACGTCAATCCCGGCCTTTCGTATATATACCTTCAATAAAAATTAAAAAAAAAAACGAATATATATCTCGGTTAACTATACTAAAGCAAATATCCTTGTGTCCCAAGTCTTACGATTGCATGAATAATTTAAAAAATACGCACTGGGCTTAAAAAGCGATATTAAAGCGCCTGACGTATATATAATTAAGGGCATACATAGTTATGCAGCCAACAATCAAATATGTAATTAACTGTGAGAAAATATTTTGAATAAAATTGTATAAAAAACAACTTACTAACAACAGATTTTTGTTGCATTGCACAATGTTGTACGCGGTACATTATGAACGACAAATTGGCCGTTGTCCTTATGTTATAGAAGAAATACTAGCGTTTCGTCAATTTCCTTGTTAAAAAGCATTAAGCGACGCATTAATCATTAAGTACTTTAATTAATAAGTTTTGTAGTGAAAAATCCGTTCAAATAGAAATATAGAACATTCCTTTTTTTAAAAGTCTTCTTTCTAATGCACAATTGAAAGGAGATAGTAAGAAATCGATATATATCATATATTGAATTTAGAAGTTCCTAAGGTTTACAAAAGGTTTAATGCAAGTCCATTGAAAACATGACAAGTAACTTGCTTGTAAAAGACCAACTCGATGCATCAAATACCTTTTTAGTAACATATCAAAATTAATGCGGTGCATATACGTATTGCCACATGGCTTAGACTTTGACGTACATGTAAAATTTCTTTCAATTAAAAAGGAACTTTGCTTTTCGATGGCTATACAAGAAGTTTGCTACTAAATAGTGACATATCATATATCATTTCTTTCATTTGAGAGAGAGAGAGTACAGTCGAACTTCGGTATCACGGACACCAAATTATTTTCTTGGTTTGAGATAACGAGGTTTTCCTGTCTATGTTTCAAAATGGACGGTTTGAAAAAGTTAATACTATATTATGTTCTGTACTGTGTGTTCATTGCCCCTAAAGGTATTTTATCTTGTATTTGTCATTTTAATATGTAAATAAATAATATTGCAAGTTCAAAGTTTTATTTTAAGTAAACAGAACTCTTTGGTATTTACACGTTTGGTGGTGAATTTTCAGGTACTCCCAATTATATATCTATAATATTTTATGACTAATAGTATGGAGTTGAAAATTTTTAGCGGTAATAATTGGGAGTGCGTGTTATTTTTCTTGCATATATGTACGATAAATAATCGTTTGCCAATTTATTTTTTGCAAAATCGTCTAAACATATCATACATAAATATTAACCTTACTAACGTATGCATAAATTTTTAAATGGAAAACCCGCCATCTTTCGGCAAACATCGTGTACGTCTACGTGCAAAGAACATTATATTTTATAGTTTTGCTAAGTATTTACTCTACCGAGAGGAAAATGTTCCCATGACCTAGAAAATGATAGACATAGGTGTATTTAGAATATAATAGCTGATTAGTTTGGTTTGTTGGTTTGTTTAATTTGGTGGTCTCTCTCAGTTCAATTGCAAACACACAGACGTATAAAATTGGCACAGTTTTATAAATGTGTATACTTCATTTGGAATTCTTTGATACAGCAGTCCCTTAACATTATCGATTAGTTATTTTTCTGCCTTGCTTAGAAATGCAGTTGTGCATTTCCTTTGGAAAGACAATGACAAATTCACCCTTTAGGGCTTAAATGCACACACTCTAAACGTATTTTTTCTCTCTCCCCCTTTTTTTACGACGATTTGATTATCTATCAGTCAAGTGATTATTGCAATGAGTAGTTCTGCAGGTGTCGGCAACTAAATCATTGCTGCATTGTGTCCTAGTCCAAATTGTGTTTATTTTATGGACAACCAAAGCGCTTTTTATGGTGATGAAGACCAAGTTTACCTTATCTGGCTCAAGGTTTTGCCTCTACAGTGATGGCGGTGTCCGGCGGTGGGATTTATAGGAGTTTAAGTAGGCACAGCCGGGAACCATTAAAAACATCTGGATTGGTCCGTAGACATTCGCCATACAATTTATTTATTATACGGGAACAGCATAGGCCAAGAACTAAGTTTTCGTTTCATATTCAGTTTTATTTCTGATGTGTTTTCCTTTTTTGAGGAAAAAAGAAATTCTTCAGAAGAATTTACACTGCATTCATTTAAAAAAAATTATGAGATTAAGAAGACGATCTAATTGTGCTTTGAGCAACGGAGTAATGGGAATTCCATCGAGAAGGTATTCGGCTCTAATGGATTATCATTCATCCGGAACTTCCGGTCTAGATCGTCGAGGTTCACTTCCGGCTTCGATGTTACGTTTCACGCCTCTCTTCCGGATCGAGAGGAAAATTTCGCAGTTCGAAACTTCTCGTTATGACGTGCGTTCCCTGAAGTTTGATACTTCCATTGATAAAAATCACATTAAAAGGCTTTTGTTCCTTGTGGGAATACTCATTGTTTTTACATTTAGTGCCATATCATATTCCTTTTACAAAGTGCTGAAAAAGAAATACAGTGTTTGAATGAACTTTCTTTAAAGAGAAGGGACCCCCTCAACCTACATATGGAAGCTAAGTCGAAAAATTAACTTTCGTCTTGGATCCGTAAATTCACTAAATTGTCGAAGTGAAATTTTGATGAGAAGGAAGGGACAACCTTAACATTTTCACGTTTTGAACTCTGGTCTACCCTAGTGCTAAGTTTGCTGAAAATTCCTCAAACCGAAGACCTTTACACGTACAATAAAACTCGCATTCTACAAGAAAAAGTTGAAGAAAGGAGTCAGCTGGTGGGGATTTAAAAGAAGACTTTTTGTGAATGTTTTAATTTTTTTTTTTTTAATGTTTTTATTCATTCGTGAAAATATATTGAATATCAAAGAAAATGACATTTTACACGGAAAGTGACGCAAAGGTGCTGATTAAAAAGCAGGCATCTTGTGTTCAATTAAACTATCAGTTTTTTACTAATCTGTATTTGTATATAATCTGTATATGTATTCTAAATAATTGTGCACTTGTATGTATACATACAATTTTTTACATATACAGGTATTTGTGTCAGACATTTGGTATGTGCCATCGCCTTCTATATGTGTATATTTGGATTACAAAAAATATGCTTTATTATATATAGGCAATAAAAAAGATGTGACATTTATTGAAATTAATTTTAAGATTTAAAAAAAATATATTTGAATAAATATGTTTCCAGATTTACTTCTTTATTAATTGATTAGTATTTTTATATATAAAATATTTATTATTTGAATTTAATTCTGTTTAATATATCATCCAGATTCAACATTCATTATCAAAATCAATTCAATTACTGTGTTTCTGTAAAATTACCCCCCCCCCCCCTTATTAAAGATACGTTTGATGATGGTGTGTTAAACATAATTCTAATAACTTTTTTATTTTGTGGTTGTGAATTATGTAAAACACACCAGTAATGTTCATTTATTATAAGGTGAGTGGAGAATCCAAGGATCTCTGCAAGGACAAAGAACTCTGTTGGGACAAAAAATATATTTTCTTAGAAAATACCTCTACTTATACTTGGATCCCCCCCTCCTTCAACTCCATCATGTGTGAGCACCCTTCTGTCTTTAGAATTCGTTGTGAAGCAAAAGACTGACAAATATTGTAAAGCATTCTCGCAATGCCAAGAGTCCTGCTTGTCCAACGGCAACATGTGGACACAGGACCCCTGGCTTGCGAGAATGATTTTAAAGAGAGTCTAGCAAAAATCAATTCCATGCATAAAAAGACAAAGAAAGATGTTGTTTTGAAAATGAAGAAGTCTTAAAGAACTTCTTTTATGATAATCTGTCATACAAAGAGTATATTTTGATAAGTATCATTTTTAGTCGAACTAACATGTTCAGATGTCACATCTGTCTCTCGATCCAAAATACCTATTAGTTGACAGACTGGAGTATTACAATCTAATTAAATTTAGATATTTGATCTGCTTCAACTAGATTCCTGTACAAAATCAAAGTTTAATTAGATTGGAAGAGATGCAAAATCCAGAAGGGGATCCAAGAATTTTGTCAGGGGGAGGGGGGGGGGGGGGGGGCTACCCCAGTCAAAAAAAAATTTCAACCCCAAAAAATATCTTGACAAGCAAAATGAAAAAAAAAAAACAGACTATATTCACAAACGTAAAAAATCTAATTCGTGGGGTGGGGAGAGGGGTAGTCGTTGACTTTTAAAGCAAAGCTTCATACCTAGAACTTTTCATTCCAACTTAACATAAACCTGTGTTTTCAAGGAGAGGTTTGCGTTTTTTTAAGGGAAGGTCCAAGATCACTTTTGCTTGGTTTAGTATATAGATCCCTCTAGATCCGCACATGAAATTGCTCAGTTTTGTACTTATTTCTCAAATTAATTTCCTAAATCAGCAATCGAGTATTTTATATAAAAATTTTCTTATTAATATATTAATAATTTTCACTTTCCTTGATTCAGATGTTTTATCTTAATTAACAGCCTCAGAAACAAAAGTTTATTAAATTCTTATCTCACTCGACGATCGCCATTTTTACTTCAAAACAAAACCTTCTAGCATATCAACGAGACAATAAATTGACAATTCAGCAATAACATGTCTACGGCTACTTTTTTTTTTAAATTAAAAACCTGCTCTGCGTTAATTGAGGACTACGACGATATAAGGAAACCATGCATTTTGATATTGATTGTCTGAAAATGGGCATAATCCGTTTAATAGTGCCAAATCTCGCATTTTTTATTTTAATATCTTATATACAAAAGAAATCTATTCCTGGGAACCGGGGGTGGGGGTGGGGGGTTACAGGTACATGTACGTACATAAATGCAAGTAAATACAAAATAGATGCAAGGGAATGGTAAATAAATAAAAAGAAAAAGAGCAGACATACATACAGAGTCATGACCATTAACTGAAAAATACTTAAGTCAACATTTAAAATTAGTATAACTAATTATAACAATTTGATAATAAAACAAAATTTGCATCATATGTTGGAATTTGAATATTATACATAACTGCAAAATTTTAAGAACACGTGTTGAATAAAACTTAAGATATTTAGAATCAAAATTTTGACTTACATGGAAGTCTGTCTTGGGGCCTGTATTTCCATAAAAATTGGGGGGGGGGGATATCACGAAACAGATTTGTTCTTTTTGCCAATAGTTTTAATATATTCGAAATAGTTTTGCTTTAGCTTCTTATATTTCTTATATTTCTAAAAAGCATAACATTCCGCGTTTCGTAAACAAAAGTGTCATCTAAAAATCTCATTATAACCTTGAATATGTCAGGTTTACGAAAGTGAATCAAAAGGTCTATGTTACACATTTTTGTGAAAATGCCAACATATTGAAATCAAAACATTCCCAGATTTTGCTGTTTTATGTTAAGTAAGAAATGTGCCGAAAAGGTCACAAGTTTTTTGCCATTTATGTATGAACATGGAATCAATAATGCTGATAAGTCAGATGACCTCATATTGTATACCGGGTATACATGTATGTACATATATGTGCATTTATTCTTTTGCGGTATTTCGTGGTTTTTTTTCTTAATTGAGGGAAGCTATAATTATGTCTTCCCTGCCAAGGGGTTGTACTAAAACGAACCTGTGAAAAACACTTAAACGAAGCCCTTTTTAAAGATTCATTTCTAACAAGAAGGAATTGGGATTACTCATCCATTCGAGATAAATTGAAAAAAAGTTACATCTATTAGGAAAAATCATTTTAAAATAGAAATAACAGAAAAGGGGCACCCTCCCCCCCCCCCCCCTCCAAAAAAAAAAAAAAAAAAAGAAAAACAAATATATTAATTTTGAAAAAAATAATAATAAGTTTACACTTAAATGTATGTGATTAAAACTTTTTAAAAAACATTTCAACTCACGGATTTAATTTTTCCAACGAATCCGGTTTCACAATAAGTGAGCGCTGTAGAGTTTCCTGCATGTAAATGGCTGGTATTATGGCGTCGTCCACTGCAAGGGCATTTCAAGTAAGTTCAATTTATTTCAATTTATAACGATGAAATACAAAGAAAATAATCCCAGTAATTAGATAAGCGTTTTGAGGATCCCTTTTTATCAATTCACAAAAAATGTCTTGGGACAGAGAAAAGAATTAGATTCAAATATGTAGCTTGCTGGGTTGACAAATAATTTGGATGTACAACAAAAGAGCTACAGTGCTACACAACAGCAAAAATCGCAAAAAAGGTGTATATTTTTTACTGGGCTATCTCTCTTTTTATTTTTCTATATATTTAGACCAATTTCAAATCAAAATAATATGTTGGTGGTGCGACCGTTACTCGGCGTTTGAGAGCGCGAATACTTCTGTTGTTTCAATTCAGATCAGGCTTGTCAAACCGCACGTAGCATTTGGTTTAAAACTATGACGTCAGATGACGTCATATGTAAGTTGCATTATCAAAAAGACACCTGAAAAGTAAAAAAGTTATTGTAGAACGTTTCGTTTACTATTTATCTTCAATATATATCCATTAAATCAAGAAGAGTGAACTTTTCGTCGAACATTTGCCAATATTCCTTTGAAAGAACGTAGTTTTAACAAGCAATAAATTGTGGGTTCAGAGTTACTGCGGAAAAAAAAATTGTCTTGAACAATGTGCAAAGTTCTAATTTTCTCTTAAAGGCATTGCTGTAAGAGCTCGCAATGACAAGTGGCACTAGCTTTTACTAATTGTGTTCCTAAGTTGGCCGAACATTCTTGTATTTCTTCCACATTGAATGAAACATTCACCAAAATCTTGATAATAACCTTCCTTTCGCAAAAAATAGGCTTTATGTTTCTCATTAAAACAATTAATTGGGGGTAACATTTGTCTTCACAGTAACCAGAACAGATAAATTTATAAAATTTGACACTTGAATGACTTTGTTTGAGGTATACAAGTCTTTTTCTTGCTTTTTAGCTCTACTGGTCAGAGACCAGAAGAGCTTATGCGATAGTAATTTTAGTCCGGCGAATTTCGTCCGTCTGTCTGTCTGTCCGTCTGTCTGTAAACAATTTTTCAAAATGCTATATCCTACAGTTTTGGTCTAATTTCAATATAACTTGGCACACAAGTAGACTACACTAAGATACATAATTCTGTGTATCGGTTTTTGATTTCGATGAACAGTGTTGCCGTGGTTACTAAAAATAGAACTTTCTGTGAAATTCTTTCAAAATGCTACTCCTCCTACAGTTTTGGTCTGATTTCAATATAACTTGGCACACAAGTAGAATACACTAAGATACATAATTCTGTGTATCGGTTTTTGATTTCGATGAACAGTGTTGCCGTGGTTACTAAAAATAGAAATTTCTGTGAAATTCTTTCAAAATGCTACTCCTCCTACAGTTTTGGTCTGATTTCAGTATAACTTGGCACACAAGTAGAATACACTAAGATACATAATTCTGTGTATCGGTTTTTGATTTCAATGAATTGTGTTGTTGTGTTACTAAAAATAGAAATATCTGTAAAATTGTTTAAAAATGCCACTCCTCCTACAGTTTTGGTCTGATTTCAATATAACTTGGCACAAAAGTAGAATATTCTAAGATACATAATTCTGTATATTGAATTTGAATTTTGATGAACGGTGTTGCCGTGGTTACTAAAAATAGAAATGACTGTAAAATTGTTTCAAAATGCTACTCCTCCTACAGTTTTGGTCTGATTTCAATATAACTTGGCACACAAGTAGACTACACTAAGAACATAAAGAGACTTTATCAACGATCATTATTCTATTTATTGCTGTTGTAAAATTTCAAATCCCAGCTGCTTAAGTACTTTTCTTTTCCTTTGCTAAAAGTTCAAACCAGTAGAGCTTCAGTCTCGACAGAGACTTCTGGTTAATAAAATTTTTGCTCATCATCATTCCTTTTATGAGGCGAGAATTTTCACAAATCAAAGTTTCTGATAAATTTAAATCTTGAAGCAAAGGATTGTATCAAAACTAAAAGTGCTATTAATAAAACACATACCCACGGATGAAGCATAGGTTTATCCTGCAGTATCCTCACACATATGTGAAATGATAGTCCTATTATATGCAAAAAGTAATAAACGCTCACTATGGTCATTGTATATTCAAACTATCATTTTTTTTAACAGACAGTAAAGCCACATATTCCACTCATAAAGTTTCGTGCTGGAAAACAGACAACAGGTAAGAACATATTTTTCACCAGACTAAATGTTCTTGGAACATGAGATTCCTCAATATCAATTTATCAATATTGATCATTATAAATATTTATTTACTATCAAAGCTCTCTTAAGAATTTTTTTTATAATAGCTAACCCTGCAATACTGACCCCAGTTTCCCAAACAAAAGAAACAGAAAGATCACCATCCACCTCTAACAAGACAAATGTTGCCAGTCCAGGAACAACTCTAGAACACCAACAATTACCTAAGAGATATGCCAGATTACCCCTATCACTAGAAGAAATGGAATACATACAGGTGATACTAGCTGCAATTATGTAGCCCTCTCCTTTTCTGAGGGAAAGGGGGAGAAAACATGATATTTGTAGTTTTTCAATTCTCTAAGAAAATTAATTTCTTTAGACATACAGTAAAACTCAGTTATAACGAAGTTACTGGGACCTGGAAAATCACTTCGCTATATCCGTAATTCATTGTATCCGTATAAGGAATTCATTAAATTTGTGTACTTGAGGATCCAAGATAACTTTGCTATATCCGTGAATTCGCAATATCCATGTTCGTACTAAACGAGTTTAACTGTATATCATAATCTGTTAATACTGAAAAATGATTTCCTGAGTTTAAGATTTTCAAAAGAAAAATTAGATGTATACGGACATATATATCGATATTGACATATGAAACATATTGTGAAACAAAAGAACTAGTTTTTAAATGCATTAAATATCCTAAATTTTCTTTTGAAAATTAGCTTCTGTATTGCTCTATGTACATGTATTTTTACTTTGAGGGATAAAATAAATTTCTTGTATTTTTCAGAGAGGTGGTCCAGATTGACTTAGAAGAATAATAGCATTAGATGTTTTAAATAATTATGTTTTCTTGTATATTTATAACCAATGTTGACAGTAAAACCATCAAGAAGGATGACTATGTTCAAAATTTTGTTGTAGTTATTTATTTATCCTACAAGTTTGAGAATGGAACTAGTTACCATTACTGTATAAATGTGTACTACATGTACTCCAGCACGCTACATGCTATATGTTCAAGTCAAGATACTTTTGACTTGGTGCTGTGTAACATATAAGGAGAGTAGGGACATCAACTAAGGCTGTGACTTGGAAAAGTAACATGTATACCAGATTAGATATCAGTGTCATACACTGTATATGTATTTAACCCCTCGAAAAGGCAGGTGTCCTACAAGCTCAAGTGCCTATATCAAGATTGTTTATCTCAAATTTAAGCAGAATGAGTAAGATTTTATTTTGAAATTACTGGAATTAAAATAGTGTTCAAGGAGATTCGAAAAATGTAATGGACCAATCAATGACTCTCATTTTGGTGCTCTACCAACTGAACTATTTAAGTTGATATCCATGGCCCCAAAATCGTTATATATTCCTCCCCCTTTAAATTATCTTTGACATCAAAATAAATGAAATGCTGGTAATACATATCCCAAGAAGAAATTTCCCTTAATCATTGTGTTCCACAGATGTTTCGACTCATGATTACTTAGAAAATGGATTTTTTTTTCCACAGCTGAGAGATAGGGGATATACCTAAATCATTTGTTGAAATGAACTAAAATTTATTTTGCAAACTAGGATAAGGTTGCAACAAGACACAAAGCATGCTGGATTTAGAATTTTGGCATTTGACCTAAATGTGTGGATTCTCTGACCCTGAATAATGTTTACAGCCTTTGAATAAATGTGTTCCATTCCTGGCTAGCCCAACGGACCATAAAATCAATTGTCTACAGACAGATGGGCAGAAAGTACGATATCATTATGTGTCCATACAAAAACCAGCATAAAAAATTGAGAAAACACTCATAATATGTTACTAGTTTTCTCACTATACTTAGTCAAATAGGACTTTGTCATCATATACATTTGCTGCATGTATTTGACTTTCGTGAGAAGCACTGACTTTTACAGTCAACAGCTTAGTTTGACATTTAAACTTGTGTTATGTAGGGAGGTACATGTATTAAATTGATAATAAAGAAACTATAGGTTATAGGTTTTGTGTAAGGGGTGCTAACATCATTTACCAATATACAATCAACAGAAGAAAAGATGGGAGGTAGAATAACAAATTCATGAAGTTAGTATCTCTTTTAAATTTAATTTTCTGATGAAATGAAATAAGAATAACAGACAAAAGAAATTTAATGGCCTAGCTCGCTTTAATGAAAGCGGGGAACAAAAAACATTCCAGAGGGAAAACGAAGTAGGAGTTGGACACAGAGAATAGATGGGTGCTTAGGATAGGGTGTTGCTATTTCCTTCCTTGACACTAAAATATGTGCTTTGAAATTGCCCATTATTATCTTTGAATTATCTTTTAAGCTAAGTATTTATACATGTATCTCAAAAGAGCTTCTATAAATTGTCCTAGTGTAAAAGTAAGCCGTTGAATTAAAAGTCACGGCTTCTCGCAAAAGTCCAATATTATATTTCTTTCATAATTACTTCTATCATATAAGGAAGAATAGAAACAAAGTTCAGTGTGTCTGTGTTCAACATATATTTATAAACATAGTATACATATACACATGTATAAATTTGCACACTTAATCATTTCCTATGAATATAATTAAGTAATGTGAATGCTTTTTATCATTGTTGCCATATTAATTTGCTTCATGAAGTCATGTACATTATTTAATTTTTTTTAGCACACTTCAAAATCTCATGACAAAATAATGCACCTAATGTATCTCAGTCAGAAGACAATTCTTTTGAGTCTTTAACCTTGAGTTTCATTTTAATCGGTTTCCTAAGCTCTGTTCCTTCTGAGCTCTCCCCTTCTGAAGAATTACAACTGGGCTTAAATGACAAGGGAGGGAAATCCTCAGGATCAGACTCAAATTCAAACTCGTCTTTACGTTTCTGGCTTGTTTTTCTTTTCTTGCCGTGTTTCGTTTCCCCTGCCTCCTGCGGCAAACTCGAGTGATGGGAATACTTTGGTTCACGGGCCGGAGAATCCTTGTGGGCGTAGTAGTAGGGGGAGTCTTTATGAGTGTGGGGCGAGTCTTTATGAGTGTGGGGGGAAGACTTGTATTCCCTCGATGAATGAGGGGAACTTTTGGCCTCTCTATGAAAATGAGGGGATAACTTGGGGGAGTATTTAGGCTCCTTGTGATGTGGAGACACCTTTGTCTGGTAGCCATGTGGAGAGGATTTTTTAGACTCCTTGGACTTGGCCTCTATTTTCACATTAGGAAGTTTACCGGGGCGGGTGATTATTTTCAGTTTGATGCCCTTTTTATGTTCGCCCCCTTTCGATGTCCCAGGGAGGGAGTAGGGAGGGTCGTCCTCATTACTGTCGGGGGACTCCACAGGATAATACTGCACCTGGCTCTTCGTTCGCTTTCGTACAGGTCTATACGGAATAACCTCTGCCTCGCCAAAATCGTCATCACTGTCCTCTTTCAACATCTTGGAGATTCTTTCTTCAGCTACCTTCTTGTTTCGCCTCGTCTCATGATTTATCCTCTCCATTTCTTCCCTCTCTCTTTCAATCTCTGCTTGCCTTATTTCTTCCAGTCTTTTCTTGCCAGCCTCCATTAACCTTTGATGCTCCTCTTGGTGCTTCCTATCTCTTGCCCGTTTCTCTTCGTTGATCAGACGCTGTATTCTTTCTTTTTCGGCCTTCTCTCTATCCAACTGTTGCTGTAATTTCACTTGTTCCATGAATTCTTTTAATAATTCTTCTCCACTTTTAGAAGCATCAGCATCAGAGAGAGATACAAGTTTTTCCCTCAATTTTGGAGTAAACACTTTTTGTTTAATATTAAACTTTTCGTTCAAGTCAGGCATGAATTTTGATAAGCTGTCACCAAAATATTCATACATGTCACTGTATAATTTTGATATGGTACTCTGGACATCTGCAATCAAGTCGTTACTTTGTGGTGAATCTTCAATGGGTTCTTGATTTAAAAGGTCAGACAATTCCAATTTCTCATATTTTTCTTTCAGCAGGTCTTCATACTGTTTCACTTGTGTTTTCATCAAGGATTCTACAGTTAACTGCAAATCAAAAACATTAAATAAATGGAGAACATTTTTTTACTGCATAGATCACATGGACAAACATTAAAAAAATTTATAGTGACATTTGATACATAAGTTTCTTAAGTTCTTTGTACCAATTTCTTTTTCTTAAAAATTAAAAAAAGATTTACCAATAAAGCACCATAAACTTTGAATGCATCAGCCTTGGTGAGGGCATTAGAGAAGGAGTTGTCCTCAAGGACTGAGGACAGGTGAGGCCAGTACACTGGTATCTGAGGAACTAACACGTCATCTATCACCTGGAGAGAAAAAGGAATATTTAGTGTGTGTTACTATGTGCAGTTCCAAATATCTGCCTTCTGAAAATTTTCTTAGCCATGATAGCTTAAAATCAAAGGAAAATTAATTACTAGAATATTTATACAGTACCAGTAATAATATTATAAATTTTGATATTTGAAAGGTGGAAGAGGGATAATCTCCCAATATGGTGGTAAATGGAAAATGATACAATGTACATGTACAAGAATCAGAATTTTGATATGATATGCTAGAAATTCATATATTCTTTTTTAAGTGATTAAGTTTTTTTAAAAAAATTCAGAAGGGGGGAGGGATTCAGTATTTTAGGCGGTTCTAACAATATCATTGATATGCCCATTAGGGTCTTTATTTTACTTCCTTGAGGGTCCCTTGGTCTTACCTGTGGTCCTAATGCCTGTATACCCCTGACAGCTCCGTAGTGACAACAGAAAGGCTTGGCGTGGTCACACAACACTTCCTTTAGGTTCCTTATAGTTGTGTGCATCAGATGATTGACCGGGCTTGACCATGTACTGTTTAAGAAAAGTATTCTCAAAATTCACATAAAAAGTTTGGCAGAATTTTTAAATGTTATTGTGTTTTTTAATCAGATTTTTGGCATAGAACAATTTTAAATACTGTACACCTACATATGTACTTTCATCTGCATTTATTTACACACAGATATTTTACACCGCAAAAGAATTATTTACATGTGTATTTATGCAAAGTGTTTCCTTGGTCATGAAAATTAGTAATTAGGGACAAACTTTGAAGAAAAATCATCAAAATAGTTAAATCAAAGCAAATCAAAATTAGTTTACAATAGGGATGGGTATCGCCAAAAATTTCGTATCGCGATATATCACGTTTCCCCCAAATATCACGATAATATCATGATATTTTTGAAGTAAAATTTTACAATGATTTTTAATGAATTGTCATTATTTTTCTTAAAAATATGCTTGAAAAACAAATTTTCACCTTTTTGAAATTTTTATGTACATAGAATTAATCATGTTTGGATGGTAAGATGCTGTTCTTTTCACCTTTTACAATATTTTGTAGACTTTCTATAATTGTAATTTGAAAGATGACACAAATAAATGAATAATTTCTGGACTTAATAATATGTACCTGAATACCGGTATTTAGGTCTCAGTATCACGATACGTATCACGCAACAAAATCTTGATATACCGGTATACCGATAAAAGCGCACATCCCTTGTTTACAATACAACAAAACAAGAGGCCCATGGGCCACATTGCTCACCTGAGAAGCTTTGACTATTCTGTTCTTTACCAGATTTCCCCCTTGTTATACATAATGCATCCCCACCCTACCCCACTGATCATAATTTAGACATTTTGAAATCTACACTACCCCATGATCCTTCCATGGGCACATATGTTTCAGCTTTTTTGGCCCAGTGGTTCCTGAGAAGAAGATTTTCAAAGATTTTTCCTATATATTTCTATGTAAAACTTTGATTCCCCTATAATGGCTCCACCCTTCCCCCGGGGGTCATGATTCCTACAATTTAGAATTTACACTACCCCAGAAAGCTTCCACATAAGCTTCACTTTTTGTGGCCCAGTGGTTCTTGAGAAGAAGATTTTCAAAGATTTTTCCTATATATTTCTATATAAAACTTTGATTCCCCATTGTGGCCCCGCCCTTCCCCCGGGGGTCATTACTTGAACAATTTAGAATCTACATTATACCAGGATGCTTCCACATAAGTTTCAGCTTTTCTGGCCCAGTGGTTCTTGAGAAGAAGATTTTCAAAGATTTTTCCTATATATTTCTATGTAAAACTTTGATACCCCATTGTGGCCCCACCCTTCCCCCGGGGGGTCATGATTTGAACAATTTAGAATCTACACTACCCCAGAATGCTTCCACATAAGCTTCACTTTTTCTGGCCCAGTGGTTCTTGAGAAGAAGATTTTCAAAGATTTTTCCTATATATTTCTATATAAAACTTTGATTCCCCATTGTGACCCCGCCCTTCCCCCGGGGGTCATTATTTGAACAATTTAGAATCTACATTATACCAGGATGCTTCCACATAAGTTTCAGCTTTTCTGGCCCAGTGGTTCTTGAGAAGAAGATTTTCAAAGATTTTTCCTATATATTTCTATGTAAAACTTTGTTACCTCATTGTGGCCCCGCCCTTCCCCCGGGGGTCATGATTTGAACAATTTAGAATCTACACTACACCAGGATGCTTCCACATAAGTTTCAGATTTTCTGGCCTAGTGGTTCTTGAGAAGAAGATTTTCAAAGATTTTTCCTATATATTTCTATGTAAAACTTTGATACCCCATTGTGGCCCCGACCTTCCCCCGGGGGGTCATGATTTGAACAATTTAGAATCTACACTACCCCAGAATGCTTCCACATAAGCTTCACTTTTTCTGGCCCAGTGGTTCTTGAGAAGAAGATTTTCAAAGATTTTTCCTATATATTTCTATGTAAAACTTTGATACCCCATTGTGGCCCAGCCCTTCTCCCGGGGGTCATGATATGAACAATTTAGAATCTACACTATACCAGGATGCTTCCACATAAGTTTCAGCTTTTCTGGCCCAGTGGTTCTTGAGAAGAAGATTTTCAAAGATTTTTCCTATATATTTCTATATAAAACTTTGATTCCCCATTGTGGCCCCGCCCTTCCCCCGGGGGTCATGATTTGAACAATTTAGAATCTACACTACCCCAGGATGCTTCCACATAAGTTTCAGCTTTACTGGCCCAGTGGTTCTTGAGAAGAAGATTTTTTAATGACCCAACCCTATTTTTCTCTTTTCTTGATTATCTCCCCTTGCGAGGGGATATGTCCCTTCATTTTAACAACTTAAATTTCCCTTCACCCAAGGATGCTTTGTACCAAGTTTGGTCAAAATTGGCCCAGCGGTTCTTGAGAAGAAGTCGAAAATGTGAAAAGTTTACAGACGGACAGACGGACGGACGGACAGACGGATGGACGGACGACGGACAAAATGTGATCAGAAAAGCTCACTTGAGCCTTCGGCTCAGGTGAGCTAAAAATGTATTCTTGACAATTAACACCGTCATATCTAAACATACACAAATAAATTTCTTTTGACTATAATATATACTTTTGACTATGCTTCAATATATATTTTAAAATGTTAATCTGTCTTGTTTAACTGGTGATTCGGATATCCGGATGCTTCACATATCCGGACAAATTGACTGGGAACCAAAGCGTCCGGATAAATGAGGGTCCACTGTATTTAATATAAAAGGACCATTTCTAGCTTAAAATGTATATCACAGGTAAAGAAATAGCAAACACTGAAGCATACTGTACGATCTGTGCCAACACCCTCGCAGCGTAATCTCTTAATGTCCAGTGGTCATTGGAGGGGTTGATGGAGGCTGCTAATGACTCCAAAAGACAGTAACTGACTCCCTGGACCAAATGGTTCAACTGCAAAGAAAGTTAACATCAAAGTTGTGGTACAACTACATCCAATCTGATTAAAATCAGCTGTTCTAATAAGCTACCGCCTAGCACATCAGAACAGCTGATTTTAATCAGATTGAAATACATCTTGGGTGGTATTTCCTACAGATTAAAGAGGAAGTCTGTGAGTCAATGCTCACTTGTAATATCCCCATCATATATAAAATGAAACTGCAATAATGTAAACTCATAAGGATCATCGTTATGGTGCAGATGCTAGAATGATTCTCCAGGAAACATCATATTGAAAATTCGGAGAAGGCTACATTATTGCAGCAAAATGCAATAAATATTTTTATAAACTTTTTTTTGACTTACATAAGGCTGAGGTTCAAGGTAGAGGTTAGAATTACTGATCAGTGCATTCACCGTGTACAACAGGCGAAACATCTGAGAGACATCATGGCTGACTGTCTTCACCTGTTTGAAGGCATCATTGAATGTTATAAAAGATAAGTCAAATTTAGGTCAATAAAGTTTAAAGTTGTATAGAGCTACAAAATATTCTATTCCTTCTTTTAAATAGGAAATTACTCTATGCTAAGAAAGAAAATACTCGCATTGTTCAAAAAATTTTCTTAATATCAAAAATGACTATGCAAAGGCATCAATAATTGTTAATTGCAGATCTTGCTTATTTGCTTTATAATTACAACTTATGCAGTAAAATTTTGTGGAGAGTATTATTTTTTCATTAGATAACATGCTTCTCAAATCATTTATCATTCAGTTTTTCATAAAAAAAAATTCTGGTATAAAGCATGTACAGTTATAAAAAATATCAATATATGTGACGCGCCAAGCAAAAACCTCCCTTAACGAAGAATTTTGACATTTTTAGTTTTTCATTGATTCTTGTAGAGTTTTTCTTTCTCTTTCGTTTGATGTATAACATGACATATATTTCTGTGTTTAAATGTATAAAATATCGCACGACAAAGACGGAATATTTATGTGACGTACAGTGTACACGTGTGTAACTGCTTGAATTTTCATAACCTAAAATCGTAAATGACGCAAAGCTATATAATAATTTGATGATATTTAGATTATCAAACTTCTGATTTGATTCCCTTAAAGTATCAACAATTAAGATTTTTCATCGTAATAATAGAAAATAAACATTCTAAAGTATATCTTTCAGAAACGAAAGACTGGGGGGGTGGGGGGTGGGGAATGATCGTCGAGGGAAAAAACAAAACTCATTAAGACAACATCAAAAATCTTCTCTTTCTCTGGGAGAGTTTTCAATTTATGGCTTTTCAATGCAGTAAAATGGCAGAAATCTACATCACTGCAATAGTAAAAGTAAGCAACATTTGGATAAAAAAAAATACTATTGTGGTAGTTCAAACGACACATGTACGATTTCCTACTAGCTTGGGCTAGTGGGTTAACCCTTAAGCTTATTCAGTACAGAGGCCTCGGGTTCAATCCCAATTAAGCAGATGTACTTAATTGTCACTGTTACTCTATCAAATTATTTATTTTTTAAAAAGTTCGAGACAGTCATTACCCCCCCCCCTCCCCGGGCATTAAAAGTAAATACAATACACAGATACACAGAATAGACAGAACGTATTTTCAAAGTTCATGTTTTAAATACCTGAAATTTTAAAGAGTGTGACAGGTTTTTTTTCTATCTAAAGGAAAAATAACATTTCTTTTACCACAAGTTAACTGTTTACATGTGTTAGTTTCGAATGTTTTTATACTGAAGACTTTTTGGCTTATTGAAAGATATTCTCCACCCAAGAATAAATTGTATTTGTTTCTTGTAGTAGAGTTTGATCCTTTTTTTCTTCAGGTGTTGTTATGAAATGAGTCTTTGGTTTCACAAGAAGAACTTGAAAGTTGTCAAACTTGTTTCCGATCCGTTTGTATAATTCAATAAATGCGTGTTTAAATCAAATCAATAAAGATAAGGTGCATCAAATGTTAAAGTGTTCAATCATTATTTCTTGGTAATTTTTTAACATTTGATTCATTTTTCCTGGCCTTCCGTTTCCTATTTTATATTTATGTTTAAATTATTGAAAATAAATATATTTATATATTTAGAATTATTTTCGTAACTAAATGCGTCTGCATACTTTTCAGTGAATCAGAATGTAACACCCATCCCCACTCTATAAAATATAGGTATTTTTAAATCGTGTTAAATGAAAACAAGATGTGTTTGTGAAACACTATGCGCCCGGCGGCAACAAAGTTCAAAAAAGCATTTTTTAGCAAATGGGTCTCAGTCAAGGTCACACGTTGTCCTTGGTGTCAGTTAAAGGTGTATGCATACCAAATATGAAGTCTCTATCTCTCACGGTTCAAAAGTTATGGCGAAAATTTGAAAAAAAGCTCTTTTTACCATATAGGTCACAGTAAAGGTCAGAAGGTCATTGACCTTGGTGTCCGTTGAAAGTGGTTAATTAGTGGAGAATGCATACCAAATATGAAGTCTCTATCTCTCACGGTTCAAAAGTTATGGCGAAAGTTCGAAAAAGATATTTTTAGCATAAAGGTCAAAGTCAAGGTCCCAAGGTCATTGACCTTGGTGTCAGTTGAAAGTGTTTAATTAGTGGAGTATGCATACCAAATATGAAGTCTCTATCTCTTACGGTTCAAAAGTTATGGCGAAGGTTAAAGTTGATAACAGACAGACAAACAGATAAACAGACAAACAGACAGACAGGACAAAAACAATATGCGCCCCGAAAAAAAATTCGGGTGCATAAAAATCTGCAATTTATATGTATGAAGTTAAATCATGAATTAATTTTGAACCGGTCATTGTATATAAGCCGAAAAGCAAAATACAATACCAGAATAAATATGAATCCCACAAGTGACATGTACACTCCACAACTTCATTTCTAGACATAGAATATAAGGCATATACTTCACTGTTACCTTCCTGAGAAAGTACATGCACACATTATGATTTGTTTTAATCATATTAAATCCTAGTTGCATTTTAGTATACGTTAAAACACGCATGTTAAAAATAGCAACAGAAAGTAAGAAAACGGGTAAAACATTCTTTATATTCTTCGATCATTGTAAAAGAGAAGGGGGGGGGGGTGTCTCAGCTATGGACATTCACGCGTAATTGATTTCCTGGATTAATTAAACAAGAACAAAGCACACATGTACAATCTTAAGCTTTAACTTTTGTTATTTTTTTTTTATAAAAAATAACTAATTGTTGTAATTTATATACATTTTTTTGATACACGAGAAGCTGTATGAATATATTTAATGGGTTAGTTGATCAAGCACGCAATATTCAAGCCGACCAACATGTATTTTTTTGTTCGATAAATCCTTTATCATAGAATATAGAGCGTTTTGATCATTGACTTAAGTAAAATATATTCAGATATTAATATATCCTCCAACTTCCATATATCTTGAACAAATATAGGCATATTACCACGGATTAACATATTTTGTGCAGATTTGTATTGTACTAATTTTGCATTAAACTGCCCATACATGTACATGTACGCATGTTCAATACAACTTTTGCAGGAAAAATTTATTGACATTGTTAAAGTTTTTTTTTACATGTATACTTTTAATAAATTATGTGTAATTGGTAGCAAATTTTCATAATTTGCAACACATAAAATTTATACATATTCATTTAATTGCGATTCAACAGAAGGAAACAAGATTATTATTTCCCAAGGTAGATGTTAAATCATGAAATGTTTGTAGTAAAGTCTTTGTCGGGGAAAAAGAAAGTCTTTAACCTCTAAAACGTTTAATGTATACTTTCATACTGCATTGATGTTTTAAGTTAAGAGAGCTGAATGAGCAATGGAGACGTTACTACATGTAGTTACTACATACAACAGCCTGATTCAGCGATTTTATAAATGATCGAAATTATATTGTTTTCAGGAATCCAGAACTTCAGAGTCTTATTTAGTACATGTAGATAAACCATGCACAAAATAGTAATAAGTTGGAATGTTTTAAAAGTGTTCAAACGATTCGTATGAACTTGTAACAATTTCTATTAATCATAATATTTTAAGCGATGTATCATGTTTGCGATTTTTACATTCGGTGTATTGTGTACATTGTATAACTTCATCTAACATATTAAGAAAAGGTCGATAAACATATGTTCAATCTGTTTAATTTTCAATCATAAAATATCTTAGATAGTGGGACCGTAACTTACAACGTATGCAAGCATCCGTATATTCAAGACAAATTTCAAGAAGTATCCAAAGAAATAGAGCAGACACGTGACACAGGAGAAAGGGTGGGGGGGTCCTACATTTTTTGTACAACATGAGAAGGTGTCCAACAATAAAATAAATTGAGAAGCTCAACAGGTCTTTCTTCAAAATATTCATTTTAAATCAACAGCTAAAACATATTCCGAAAGAAGTGTCCAAATCAAATACTCTTTGTCGTATCTATTTTTTTTTTTTTTTAAATTAAACTTAACTATTTATCAATAATAGTTCACGTATTATTTATATAAACGACAGCGTTAACTGTCCCAACTCAGTTTATACCGTATAAATTGGGTAGCTATTTAATTCATTCCATAGATATAAGAGAAGTAAAACCAGGTCAATTTTCATTGCATCGTTATTTGAAAAAAAATAACTTAGTTTAATGCTCCTGTTAAATTTTTCTTGCATGTGCATCACGATGAAACAGCTGGGCATTAAATTTAATAAAAACTATCTTTAAAAACTTGTTTGTTTGACCTTTTAAAATGAATCAACCAAAATCTTTTTAAAACTTCCAAATTATTCATTCCGGAATTTTCTCATCCTATCAACAACTTTCTTTTTTATTTCAGAAATGCCTTCAATCTTTTTCAACACCGAAAATGTCCGACAAAAAAAATTCGAATTACCTATCGATGCAATTTTTTAACACTAAGAGGGAGAAGGCAAACAAACTTCATTTTAAAAACGGCCTTACGGGAATTTTTCAGCCACCACTGGAAATCTTTAAAAAATACACACTTAATTAATTGTGAAAAGGAAAGTTCACACAGACACTTGACGGAGACTAAGTTTGTACTGAATAAACTACATCAAATAACACCCAAGAATCTGTCTTAGCATATAAATAAAACAACATCCTCTTGTTCTACTGGGATCGAGAGTTTCTCTCAAGGAGGCGTTTTTACGTCGAATTTACCTTGTTGACTTTAGACGCGTCTTCTGACGTTACGTCATAATAGAGATAAGGGAGGTTTTTGCTTGGCGCGTCACATATACAAACCCCTGCAGAGATGAAGTTGACAAAGCATGGCAGTAATGAAGTGATGTTGGGATTTGTTCGTAGGTCCTGAAGAGCTGCCTATAATAAAAATATTTTTTAAAAATAATTTTCCATTTTTCTATCTAACCTTAGATTTAATCTTACACTGGAATAGAAAAATTATAATAAAGCTAGAACTTGAATACTCAGTATTTCAATATTATAAAATTTTCAAGCGATACTAACCTTCATTAATTTCTGATTACTCCCCAGCACTGCCTTTGTAATACTATCAAAGTATTTCTGCAGTACATCATTATTTTCTTGTTTTATATTCTTTCCTGTACATCCAAAAAAAAAAAAAAAACAGGAATAATCTAGCACTCTAATGTATAAGCAGCATTGTGAGAATGAATGAGAAAGTTTATCTGTGGATCAAATCTTCTTCCGTACGAGTTTAAGCTCTAACTAGTTAGATCTCTGCTCAAGAAAATTATCTGCATATTTGCAGTCTTCAATATTGTGACCTAAATTCCCTTCAAAATTTGACTGAGATAATAATTTCTAATGATGGAATACACTAACCTTAAAACTTTCAGGTAAATATGTGTACCTTAGTATCTTCAGGCTTAAATGTTAAATGTATAAAAAGATATTTGATATGATGGACTAACCTTGAGAATGTGATGCTGACTTTGATATGCCTTCTACAGCCAACCACTGAGCTAGAAAATAAAAAAAAAAATTGACAGAAAAGAGGATAATCATGATGATTAATATTACACCACATCTATATCAAAAGCTAATTTTGGATGAAGCTTAGATGAAATTGTTATGTAATGTGTTTCAATGATAATAAAACATGTCATAAGTTCCTTGTGTCTCCATATACATACTTAAAGAATCTAGCTTTACTATTTAGAGAGAGAGAGAGAGAGAGAGAGAGAGAGAGAGAGAGATTTAAACATTTTAATCTTGTACATGTAGCAGATAAATTTCAAATTGATTTACAAATGTATACTTCTAAATTATGTGGATGTTTTAGCAGCTTCCAAGGCTACATATATGTTAAAGATTGTAACAGCTACATGTAGTACCAAGTCTGCATAGATTTACAAATTTGAGAAGTATGCTAGCCTAGCCACTACTTAGGATTAACAAATGCTAATTTAACTCATCAGTGTTTTCAACTGACTTGGATATCTAGCCTAGCAGCTGTGTTAACTTCAAAGATCTTGAACCCAGCACAGCACAACCTTCAATACATGAATTACATGTATCAATAATTCTGCAAACTTTTCAAAATCTGCCAGTACCCGACAGCAAAAAATATTTGATTTCCAAAAATTCAGTTACACATTTCTTTAAAATGCTTCCAAAAGGTACCTCCTTTTCACATACTAGTACCAACTGTTTCTAATCTTTTTGGAAGCCCTAATTTTGAAACTGAAGTGAATGCTGTACCTTTAATAGAGGTCTCCCCCTGTTCACACGGAGTACAGTCCTGAAGTCCTACATCCCCCAGGTCCATCTCTTCCTCATCAGTGAAAAATATCTCCCCTTCTTTTGTCGGTCGAAAACTCGTCCCATCCTGGCATCTGTGTCCACTTATTGGCTAAAAAGAAAATATTTTTAAAAATATTGAAATTAGCTTCAACATGTTCAATAAATTTCAAATGTTTGATCCCCCCTCAGTATTTTTATTTTCAGTTTATGGAGCATGTTATTGTATATAAAAAATACCTTCAATGACTTTAAAATGTTTGATCCACCCTCTGTATTTTAAATTTCAGTTTACGGAGCATGTTATTTTACCTGCACACTGCTCCTTTTCAAAGCTTTGTTGAAATCCTCTGTTGTCAGTCTTTTCCTCCTTGCATGCTTCATATACTGGATAGAGTTCTGGAGAACAAAACTAAAAAATAAAAACTTAAAAAAAAAAAAATCTCACATAACTCATACTTTTTGTTTACAAGTAGAAATACATAAACATAGGTAATCAAAGATTACCTCGACGAATGTTATCAGTGTAAATAATGCAAATCTCACATCATATTTTCTTAATAGTTGGTATTTATCCCAACAACAATATTCCTTCAAGTTCTGTTTAACCCCTTACATGGCATATACACATTTCTACACATGTAGCATGAAAAACATGTATAGTGTAAATAATTATTCATAATTTTGATAATACTGTAAATATCAAGAACTTCGAGTTCATTGGGATTGATCTGTTCCAAAAACTAACCTGGTCTCTTGTTTGGGAAAAATATAGGTCAGATCCAGCATCCGAAGCAAGCCTGGTAGTGTCCATTCCTAGATGCATCATCCATGCAAGTTTGGTCCGGGTAGGGCTTATAATTACTTGGGAATGAAAATGTAAGTCAGATCCAGCATCCGAAGCAAGTCTGGTAGTGTCCATCCCTAGATGCATCATCCATGCAAGTTTGGTTCAGATAGGGCTTATAGTTACTTGGGAATGAAAATGTAGGTCAGATCTAGCATCCGAAGCAAGCTGGTAGTGTCCATCCCTAGATGCATCATCCATGCAAGTTTGGTTCAGGTAGGCCTTATAGTTCCTTTGGAATGGACCTGCTCCAAAAACTTTAACCTGGGTACTCAACTGGAAAATGTAGGTCAGATCCAGCATCCGAAGCAAGTCTGGTAGTGTTCATCCCTAGATGCATCATCCATGCAAGTTTGGTCCAGGTAGGGCTTATAGTTCTTTGGGAATGGACCTGCTCCAAAAACTTTAACCTGGTCACTCTTCTGGAAAATGTAGGTCAGATCCAGCATCCGAAGCAAGTCTGGTAGTGTCCATCCCTAGATGCATTATGCATGCAAGTTTGGTTCAGATAGGGCTTATAGTTACTTGGGAATGGACTTGCTCCTAAAACTTTAACCTGGGCGCCAACACCAACGCCAACGCCAGGGGTATAGCATACGCTCATCTTGACTTCGTCGAGGTGAGCTAAAAATGTGTAATTCTACTTTCAAATTTGAAGTCAGAATGACTAGATATTTCAAAATTCTATCTGTAGAATAGGTTTGAAATATAGACCATCTGCCGATTGGTTATACACTGTACTTGGATATTAACAGTAAAATAAACAGGTTTCAGTTAGCATTTTTTATTATACTGGATATAAATGCCAACAAACCAAGGATCTCCTATTGTCTGTATAGGCACATGACTGACATTCTGATACAGACATGTCCCTTAGAATCAGAGGGCTAGATACATTTACTTCCGGTTGGGGTTATAGATGTAAGATAAAACCAGAGACCTCGGCATGAATACTCGGAAGTCTCTGGTCTCTGAAATTTAGTTAGGTATCTTGTGGTAAATATAAGTAGGGGGTTCCCTGTATACAAAACAAGTGCCTGTGCCCGGGCCCCCTGAATCTCCATCAGGTGGTCTACTGATTGAGCTATCTGGCCACCGGCGATCGAACCTGGCTGACCGCCACACTTCAAACGGATTGCATAGATTTCTGTTTTAAATACCTGTGTAGCCTCTTTTAACCTGTAGGAAACATCTTCACAAAGCATGGCTGCTGCATCATCACAAAGTTCACTGAATCCAACAGATTCAGCCATGATCTTGATGCTTTCCCTGGTGATGACAGCATATCTTTTGTCATCAAAAACTGATGTTTTCTTCTCCTCCTTCACCTCAGCCATTTCTTATAATACAGTACTGAAAGTGAAACAAAAGAGAACAATGCCTTCAAATTTTAGATTGGACAAAAAAGTTTCCAAATACATCTTGAAGTTAAATCATTAATGGATATATGTTTAAAGCTAAAACAAAAGCAGAGGCAATTCTGGTAAAAGCGTTATGAGTTTTATGATACACGACTTGCCAGAATGAAAATGAAGATAGTGCCACTATGGTTGTTCACAGAAGAAATAAGTCATGTCGATAATCAATGTCGGCATACAGTTGAAGCGTCTGAATAATAAGAAGAAAGAAGAGACTAAGAAATGAAATATTGTTAGATCGTACATCCGATTCTTCATTGTAGCATCATAAATCAACTTCCGGTTCAAAATCTGCAGACGCACACGTTCTCCTCAAGGTAAAAATAATCTTCTTTGCATAATTTATTTCATACTTTGCATGGCAAAAAGAGTATATTATAAATTGATATCACCAAAATTAAAACATTAACCATTATTTAGAATATAGCCAGTAAAATGAGCTAAAATGCATACCATGCAAATCCAACGTGATAAACAACTTAACTGCTCTTGGATAGACTAATTACCCATCGGTAACTAAAAAAAATACTGAAACACTGTTTAGGCTACAGCTTTAATTTTCTTTCTTTTAATTTCATTTTATTCAAGCGTTCAATTGATGCAAGTTGTAAAGCAATGAATGAAAGCAAATTGTTTTTGTTAAAATTCTGCATAAATTATGTAAAAAAGATGTAATTGCATAACTTATTGCACTACCATTATCTCTATGTTAGTGCATTAGGGCAAATGTAGAATATTGCATGTCTTGGTAAACCTTTTGAAATACAGATTTATAAAAAAAAAAATAGCTGACAAGTGAAAATAATCATGTATAGTTTAGGGATAGATGATATGGATAAAATATTAAATTGACATAACTTAAAGTTAAACTTGCTGTTGTCAATGCTTTTATGAAAATACAATTAAATACTTATATAGACAGTTTCTTTTAGATTTTTAAATTAAATCATAAATCAAGAGACAGCATACTTTTTGTGTGCAATAAATATACACTTTTTTAAATGGTTGGCACTGTAGCTCTCTGTTCTGTCAATGTTTTTTTTCCCTCAAGAACAAAGTTCTGCAGTTATTTTTAGCTCAACCGGTCAGAGCCAGAAAAATGAAATAAGAGATAGTGAAGTGTCTGAAAAAAATTTTCAAAACATTATTCTACCTACAGTTTTGGTATGATTTCAATAAAACTATGATCCATAATTCTGTGCATGATCAGTGTTTGATTTCGATGAATGGTGTTGCTTTGGATACAAAAAACAAACTTTCAAAAACTTTTGTGGTGTCCCGGTGGCATACTGTGTAGCTTCCCATTATGAACAAGCCTAATTTTACTATACACATTTATAAACAATTAACATAAACAAATTAGTCTACATATAAATTCTTGATTGGACACTATGGAGGATTAGAGGTTACTTAAATTTTTTTTAAATCTTTAGAACAGTGTGTTTTTTATAATTCATTAATGTCCACAAATATCCATTCCAGTTGCTTATTACATGGATGATATTTTAATAGAACAGAGATACATATACTAGCTTTTATTAATTATTTTATGTGTTGTTTTTTTTAAAATATTACACCCAAAGTATAAACAGTCTAAGGAAAGACTTTAAAGGTATAATATATATTTTAAGTTTTTTTAATATACATGTATTATCTAAAGTAGCCAGATTTAGATTATCTTTAATAAAGTAATACAGTGGCTTCCACTTAATCGGATAGCGGTTAAACGAATATTTCGGCTATTTCAATGTAATATCAGAGCACAAAACCATTTCTTATATATTTATGGATAATTTCACCTGATATTCTGATAAGAAAATAACAGAATTTCGTTTTATCTGATACAAAAATTTGACCATCGTATTTGCTTGCCCTCTACTAACTCAGGTTTAAAAGATTGGGTTGGTAGGTAAGTTGGAAACTTTTTTCTCAGAAAATTTAATATAATTTAATTTAATATTAATTTAATAAATTATATGATTAAATGTATAAGGATTAGGAAAATTCAAGAAAACAAAACAAATATCATTTTATTGGAGGTTAAATATAAGTTTGAGTTGGGTCATTTTTAGCCAATCGGTCAGAATAGGGCAAACAAACATTTTGTTTAAGATGGCCTAATACATTAAATTTGCTCTATCTTATTAAGTTGTTTTAAGAAAAACATGTTAATTTATTGTTTTTATGAAATGATATAATTTTAAAATATATACTTGTCAGAATGGATACCTGACTACAAAGTCATGTATTTGTGAAATTAAAATGCCAGAAAAAAACAGACAACATTGGTATGCAATGTACTATACATGTTCAAAGGGTCCAAAGGTTTCTCCTGAACATGTTGAATGCATGAAACACTGATGCTTCATGTAAAGTTATGGCTTTTCAAATATAAAATGTGTAAAATACTTAAATTTCTTCCTTGATTTCTTTCAAAATTTCATTTTAATTTTTAAATTAGCTATATCTGCTAATGAAGACTAGCTGTACAAAGTAACTAAATAATTCTAAATATTATTTATTAAAAAACAAAAAATAAATAATTATTACTCTGTGACATATTTATAAACGAATTCATATTGAAATTTTATAGGGAACTTTGATACATGTTTACCCAATATTATAATCTTTTAAAATTTAAAAACAAAATATGTTTTTCTTGATTTAAAAAGCCCAATCTATTTTTAAATGTGTTTACAGCTGTTGATAAACACGTGACACTCCGAAGGTTATTCTTCGCATTACATTGTAATTTAAGTGCTGTAAACAAACACACACAAGTATAGGTCACACACACAATAAAAAACAACATGCTTGTTTACAATCTTGAACATGTGCGTAGTTAGAGGCTAGAAGTGCAGTAGTGAACATTCCAGTACTCCAGTGGCTGTGTTTGCCATGAAATAAATTGTGCAATGTATTGATGCAGAGGCATCATTTTTTTTTTTTTTTACACATTGATAGTGCTGCAAGCATTAAACCAGCATAAAATTTATCGTTCATGTCTAGGCACTTTTAGAGAAAGTTATTTAGCATAATCAGGTAGGATACATCAATTTTTTTTTTAAATGATGCTTGCTCGACTGTAAAGAAAGCCATGCATTTGTACATTTGAAATAGCAAATTTTATAGCTTTTAAAACATAATAGATTTATGTCCTGTTTCCAAAAAGTTGGTCACCCAGTTTCCTTGAGTACAAGGTATTTATTATTCTTAATCTGTGTATAACACTATCTTCCTGTGCATAGTGTTGTCATATTAAGTGGAAATGTAATATTTAGAGTAAAACTTCCTCCTGTGTGAGTTTTTCTACACTGTACATGTTGTACAGAGTGCACACTTTATTTGGGATTATTGGAAAAACTCACAAAACTGAGCCTAATACAGGAGGCCTGTAATTTTTAGGTACGTTAACCATGGTAGACATGCCCTTAATGCACATTTTGTAGTTGATTTAGTCTCCCTTTGGAAGATTTATTTCATTGATCTTCTGTATTTCTTAGTAATACAAGTTTTTCATAATGTTATGCATGCACATCACTGTATTTTTTGAAAAGAAAAACTTCCTTGACCTTTTCAAGAGAGAAGCGAATAAAGTTTAAGTTTTATTTATGTGCTTTTTTCATATACAGACAAGCATTTTTTTAATGTTTATCAAGGGATTTGAGGATTGTTGAAGAAAACATTGAATCAAGGCTGTGACCTTGATTTTCAACAACCCATCGCAATAAACAGTCTATAAGATAACAAAACAGACAGAAAAATCAATACGTAGCCATAACCAGTTTTATATTCCTTTTCATTCAGATTATCCAGACCAACTTTAAGTTAGGAGGACCACAATAATAAGATGTTCCGGTTGCAAGCTCGACTGTCCTCCCTGTGCCAGTCTGCCAGAACTCAGCTACCGGACGCTGCCAGGGGAAACAGTCTCTATGGCTTCAAACTACCCCCGGGGATTGCCTGTAGCTCTACCCAGGCTCAGTCCCAAACTAAACCCGACGAAAAAATCCGAAAACTTATGGTGGCCAACAGAGGTAAATATCTTGCTTGCTTTGAGAAATCTTTATAATAGAAATCACGAAGTTCAAGGTAAAACGATGGAGGATTTGTTTCTGTTGTCTAAAATGAAAATATTTTTATGCTGTCTTTCAGGTGAAATTGCCATAAGGGTGTTCAGAGCTTGTACAGAAATGAATATAACTACTGTGGCAATCTACTCTGAGCAAGACATGATGCACATGCATCGTCAGAAGGCAGATGAATCATACCTCATCGGGAAAGGCCTACCCCCAGTAGCCGCATACCTGAATATTCCAGAAATCATCCATGTTGCAAAGGTAGCTATATTCCATTTTAATTGGTTTTTCCTTAGAATTTACTTATGGATAAAATTTTGGGAAGAATTATGCTCAAATTAGATATAAAATTGATTAAATTGTTAGTTATCTAGAAAAAAAAAATGTGTTATAAAGGGAGGTAACTCTTAAATACACATTTTAGCAAAAGTCAGTTTCTACCTGATTTTCTTTTAAAGGAAAATGGAGTAGATGCCATACACCCAGGGTATGGGTTTCTCTCTGAGAGAGATGACTTTGCACAGCAGGTGATAGATGCAGGGATAAAATTCATTGGTCCGTCTCCTGAGGTTGTGAGAAAAATGGGAGATAAAGTGGAGGCCAGGCAAGCAGCCATTGCAGCAGGTGACATTTATATTACTACAGTGAAAACTGTCCAATCCGACACCTGAATAATCTGACACACTGTGAATTCTGACGTTTAATTTCTTTCCCATTCTAGTATTTTCCTTGTTTTTAACACTGTTCAATCCGACACCTTGTCTATTCCGACACAAAATTCATCTCCCAGTGCATGTTGGATTAGACAGCTTTCACTGTACTTGTATATTGTTTTGAAACATTTTATTAAGACATTTGCCTTTTATTTTAGATTTCATAGCTTATAAAATCATGGATGAATTTTTTTTATGTGAACGCTGTCACTGGTCACTATGAATGCCCATCACTATATATGCCCCCCCCTCCATAAGTTACCATCCTTGAAATGTTAAGCCTGCCAAAAAAAGTAATAAAATTATCAAAATTCATTTGCTATACATGTACCAGTATATCTTTATATTTCTACAGTTAAGTACGGCTTTTCAGGAAGCAATGAAACTTAAAATTGTATTGAATTCAGATAAAATGAGAAATTCCAGTAAGGGGTTCCATCATAATCCCCACTGTGTGTGTGTTTGTAGGTGTACAGGTTGTGCCGGGTACTGATGGCCCAGTCAGCAGTATAGAGGAGGCCAGGTACTTCTGTGAGCAGTATGGACTGCCGGTCATATTTAAAGCAGCGTACGGTGGAGGAGGAAGAGGCATGAGGATCGTTAGGTCTATGGAGGTGTGTAAGGTTCATTTTAATGTCGGAAAATTGCTTACATCAGTCAGGGTCAACTCAAACAAGTTATCAGAAAAATAACTTAAATAAGTTATTTTACACACACAATTTTTTTATAATAATAACTTAAATAAGTTATTTTTATATTCTACTTGGACATTGATTTCTTGGGAGTTTTGTGTTTCCTGCCAATATGCATTGCATTTTGGGATTCCATTATGTAATACTAGATGGAGTGCACCGACTCCAAAGGAGATTTGGTGAGGAGTTGGAGATAGAGAGTATTTTACTCCTTATTTTGTGGTTTTATCTACATGGTTTATATGTCCAATTTTTATCATTAAATAAAACATTTTCCCCAATTTTCCCAAGACTTTGAACTAAAGTGACAACTCTGAAATATCTGTGCATCTCAGATAGGAAAGTTTAAACTAGAATTTAATAGTAAATAAGGACAAAACATTTGTTTTTACCCAAATTGTCATACTATGGGTTTCTGCATTGAGCAAGGTCTCAATTTAGTCAAACATTTGTTTTTGTCTTGATGCACAAGCAAAAACCTTCGGTGCTTTGGGTGTGATGTTAGGGAAAAATGACACAAAATAACTTAAACTAATTCTTAATTTATTGAAACTATTTTGGAAAAATAACGTGTTTGAGTTACTAAGGCTGGGGAAAAGTAAGTCGTAGCAAATAGAAGTAACTCATTGAGACAAAAAAATAACTCATTTGAGTTATTTTTGAAAATAACTTGTTTAAGTTATGCCCCTTACTGTACATAGTATGACAATGTGGGTATCTTGAGATTCGAATGTCAAATGTTAAGGATGAGCTAAATTGATTCGACAGTCCTTATTTACTATTAAATTCTAGTTTCAACTTTCCTATCTGAGATGCACAGATATTTCAGAGTTGTCACTTTAAAGATATTAAGGTTTGACTGTGGTCTGTGTATGTATATTATACTGTAAGTATTAAATGGTATAGGTGAAATCTGATGATTTCATGTTGGAGGAGATTTTCTTACAAGCAAGAAAATTATGTGTTAATTTATTTTCCCATGCAGGAGGTAGATGAGAATTTCAGAAGAGCGACATCCGAGGCAGAGGCAGCGTTTGGTAATGGTGCCCTCTTCCTGGAGAAGTTCATTGAGAGACCTAGACACATAGAAGTACAGATTCTAGGTAAATATATATAGTATACTTGTAACTTGTTTAGTACAAAGCTTTCTTGGACCCTCAAATATATAAATTTTATGAATTCCTTATACGGATATTCCAAATTACGGATAAAGCGAAGTAATATTACAAGTCCCAGTGACTTCGTTATAACCAAGTTTTATTGTACCTCTGCAATGAAGAACACTGTAGATTACCTCATATCATAGAAACCTTATTTTCTTGAGATTTTTATGTGGTACTGTGAAATCACAAATTTTCGTACTGTGAAATCATAAATTTTCGTGGTGGTTTAATAATCCTTCCAATTTCAAATTTTTAAGTTTTGTTTTTTAAAAACGTTTAGAAACTGGTTTAGAAATCAGAATGTTATTAAAATTTTGAATATTTTTCATACATTACACATACAAAACAGATATTGATTTTCATGTCCACCACGAAATGTAAAATGTTGCATACATAAGTACTCATTTATTCTTGATCCAAGAAATCAAATCCCCACGAATCAAGAGATTTTCCTCAAACTATGAAAATTTGACCCCCAAAAAATATGTGATTTTATAGTATCTTTATGGGAGAAATAGTTGTCTCAAATTTTGTTTATTGTTTATAGTATCCTCATCATGTATTGTAAAATTTATGTGAGAAAAAAGTGTTTGAGAGCAGACAGTGTCACATGAGCTTTCAAAAAATATAGGTCTCACAAATTAAAAGTTATTTACAGTATAAAGAAAATGCAACGGATATATACATGTATGTTTCTTACTGTATTTTATTATGTTTTGCATACTGTGAAATCACAAATTTTTGTGGGGGGTTAATTTTCATTGATTTCGAGGTATGAAGAGACCCACGAATTCATGTCCACCACGAAATATAAAATATTAAATACGAAACTACTCAACAATTCTTCATCCACGAATTCAAATCCCCACTAACCAAGAGTTTTTACTCAAACAATGAAAATTTGACCCCACGAAAATATGTGATTTTACAGTAATTAAAGATTGGATTTTATCATGAGGTTTCACAAAGTGTTCCTTTTATAGGTGATAGAGGAGGAAATGTGGTGCATCTTTATGAAAGGGACTGCTCTGTACAGAGGCGCCACCAAAAAGTGGTGGAGATAGCCCCCGCCCCCAAACTGCCACGTGACATTAGGGACAAAATGACTGCAGATGCGGTCAAACTAGCCCAGTGTGTGGGCTATGAAAATGCAGGAACTGTGGAATTTCTCCTGGACCCCTCAGGACAATACTACTTCATTGAGGTTAATGCTCGACTACAAGTGGAACACACCGTCACAGAGGAGGTTACTGGGTAGGTGGCATAACCATTAGGAGGTTTATGGGGAAAAGGATATTTCAAATGGGTGTTTATGAAAATATTCCATTTATCACTGTATATCACTTTATTTTTGTGACACTTTATTTCCAAGTGAAAGTTATTTGATATTTATCAGTGAGATGAATTTATTGATATATGTAATGATGAATGTAATGATACATAATCCTTAAAAATATATGAGAAAAATTTTCGCAATCAGACACTTGCAGTCTTGTGTATAATAAGAAAATCTCCTAAAAGATACAATGTATGTCATTAATATATTAAGTTCCAAAAAATTTTCAAATTTAAGGATATACCAGACAACTTAAAACATAGTAAAACTTTGTTACACAAATCCCTGTTCATCAAATTGTAGGATAGATTTGGTACAGAGTCAGATTAAGATAGCAGAGGGGAGGCTGTTACCAGAGATGGGACTCAGTCAGGAGGATATAGAACTACATGGCTGTGCCATCCAGTGTAGAATGACCACTGAGGACCCTGCCCGAGGTTTTCAACCCGACACTGGCCGAATAGAGGTACACACAGGTTAAATATTGCTCAGAACTAGGTGGTATGAATAGTATTTGAAATGCACACATTTTGAATTTTTCAAACATTTTAAAAGGTGATGCAGGTTTGAATTGTGAAATACAGTTGAATGTTTATATTACATAGAAAGTGAAAATTTCTTGCAACATTAAATTTTACTTTTCTTTTCCCTCAATCTCTCATACTTGTATTTAAAAAATGCAAAAGTTACAATATACTGAGCATATGAATATTATGTACTAGGTGAAATCACCATAAAGTTTTTTTTTTCCCATGACAGGTGTTCAGGAGTGGGGAAGGTATGGGAATCAGACTGGACAGTGCTCTAGGATTTGCAGGGGCCATCATCTCACCTTACTATGATTCTTTGCTGGTCAAGGTCATTGCTAAGGCCAGAGATCACCCATCTGCTGCTGCCAAGATGTTGAGGACACTCAAGGAGTTCAGAATCAGAGGGGTCAAGGTCAGTAATGGCTGAAGTTGGCATCTCAGGGTCAGACTTTTTTTTTTTTAATTTACAGATTCCAATACATAATTTTACAATACATATATACATTTTCTGTAAATTTTTTATAAGAGAATGGAGAGAGAAAGAGAGAGAGAATGAGAAATAGAGCAAGAAAGAAAGGAAAGAGAGAGAAGGGATAGAGAGATAGAAAAAATTACAAAAACAGATTCATCCAGGGTTTCCAGGCTTCGTCAAAAGTCACCTGATTATTGTTCTTATATGCAATATACTTGTTTGTTTCATACATATATTTGATGGAGGATATCAGTCCATTCAAGGAGAGGTTTTTACCACTACATCTCATTCTACAGATAAAATATTTAATCTGAAGAGCAGTGAGATATTTAATTTTGTCTAATTTTGTAAAAGATCCCAAGGGTCAGACTTTCCTTTCTACTTAATGCTTTTCTGAGGTTTTATTAAAACATTCTATGAAGATTAAAATAAATATCTTTCATATCAAGAAGTTAGATGTATGTACCTCATCAAACAAAACTAAAGATAATGCAGGAGACATTTATTTTAAATTTCTAAGATGATAGTTTCATATAAGCTTTATTTTTGCAGACCAACATCCCTTTTCTGTTGAATGTCCTCCAACACGAGCAGTTCCTGTCGGGAGTGGTGGACACATACTTCATCGACGAGAACCCCCAGCTGTTTAAATTCTACCCCACCCAGAACCGGGCCCAGAAGCTGCTCTATTACCTGGCCCAGGTGATGGTCAATGGCCCCCAGACCCCCCTGGCCACTGACCTTCAACCCTCAGAGGTCGTACCAACTGTTCCACAGTTACCCTATGGTAAGACTGTGTTAAAGATGGACTATATTTTTGATTGCTCTGTAGAGGTATCGTGTATTCTTAGAAACCCCCTACTAAATATTTCACCTTTAAATTGAAATTTTTGAAATTTCAGTAGTAGTTAGATACAAGAAATTGTATAGTCTGTTAGTACTCAGATACCTAATCTGATATGAAAGAAGATTCATAAGTTAAAGGCTTAGAAAACAGTTCCTGCTGGTCCTTTGGATGAGACCGTATAAACCGAGGTCCTGTGTCGCAGTAGGTGCTAGCATGAAAAGATCCCTCACTGCTCAGTGGGCCAGAGTGCCGAGCATAGGACAAAATTTGTAGCTCTCCACCAGCAAATGTGGCATCTCCATATAAGTGGAAAATTCTCGAGAGGGGCGTTAAACAACAAACAATCAATCAAGCAGTTCCTTTACAGCTAGTGATAAATCTTTTAGTCAAATTTTCAGAACTCTGTTCTTGTTGAAAGGTTTTTGTTTTTTCTCTATTTGTTTTGGACAGTCTATTAATAATTGCTTTTCATTAAAAGGGTATTGATTTAATCGTTGACAAAGTTTCTCTTGTGCATGTAGTGAAGCTTTATTCATAAAACATGCCATAACCTATATAGTTCATTAATATTTGATGTGAAATGTGAAAAAATATTTGTAATAACTGTCTTCATTTTGTGCTCCCTACAGAGGAAAATCAATCTAGGGGTAAGAATTTTCACTGCTGTTCACTGCAAGGCAGCAATTAATGCCATGAAATGATATTTTCATTTTTTTATTGCAGCCATTTTTCTATTGTATACTCCTTTATACTCTTTATTAGCATTTTGTATCGCGTCACAGTGGGAACAATTGTAATCTATTAACTGGTTAATCTGAATTTCCTCTTTTAACAGGAACCCACTGTCTATTTTATTTTTACATGGCTTTATGGGCTGTACTTAGAGTTAGTACCTTATTTAGCCACTTTAATTAATTTATTCCATCATGAAATCTGTAAATAAAGCATAGTGCTGAGGTCTTTGTGACAAGTTCAGTCCAGAGTTTCTTCATGTTTTTTTTTGGAATACAGAGCTATTTTATCTAGCTGCATGAGGATTGTGTCATGTTGTCCTTTGATCTGTTGAATTCATATGCATCCATTTAAAATCTGTGAGTTCAAAACTCAAAAAAAAAACTTACACAGAAAAGAAACAATACATGGTGCCACATTTTTTTTGCACTCTATGATCCTATGCAAAATTTGTACAAAAGAACTAATAGTTCACACGTAGTTTCATGCGTTTGCATGTTCATGTTTATATTTAAATGATCTGTATAATTCACTCAGTGTTACACTACTGTGTGTTATACGAACAAAAATAAATCTTGTATTCATATATATTAAATATTTAAAAATATACTTAAACTCTGGTATATTTATTTCTCAACTCAATAACCTTGTTTCCTATACATGTATTTATTTCTCCAATTTGTGGAACTGTTTCTGGGGACCTAAATCAACATATTTTAAATCTGCACTCTTTATTAAATATTCATCCTTTTTTTAACAAATCCTTAAACAAATGATTTACTCAAAAACTAATTGGGCTAATTTTGTTTTTAAGTGTGAAATGAATTGTCTATAGAATATTAAGCATGACAAATGCCTTGTCAGATATGCTGCAAATCTGTTAATGTTTAGTTATTATGATAAAAATTTATGCTGATCAGTTTTGCTTTCATGTGCATATATCATGATTTTGTTGCTTGAAGATTTATCTTGCTGTCAATGCTGCAAGCTTGCTGACATGGAATCTTCCCATTTTGTGTGTTATTCAGATCATCACTTACCGGTAGTCAGTATCTATTAATAGCTAAGATTGTTTATTTTTATCACACAGCCCCCGCTCCACCCAAGGGCTGGAGGGACGTCCTGGTGAAGGAGGGACCAGAGGCTTTTGCCAAGAAAGTCCGAGAGCACAAAGGATTGCTTCTGATGGATACCACCTTCAGGGATGCCCACCAGTCGCTCCTAGCAACCAGGGTCAGGACCTTTGACCTGAAGAGAATCTCACCTTTTGTATCTCAGAGGTTTAATAATCTCTACAGTTTAGAAAACTGGGGAGGTATGTTAAAGTGTAGAATATTTCTTCTCTGAAACGATTGCAAGTAGACTTTGAAATGATATTCGTGATAATTTGCTTTGCAAAAATCCATATTAAAGAAGGAAAGCTTTACCAGTATATTACATGTATATTCCTTCATATATATGTACTAGTAATTAATTATATATATATATGATGTATTTGTTGATGGTGAATATTGTTTGTAAGAATGTAAAAACCAATGAATGTTCAAACTCATTTACATATATCAAAATTAATTATTTTTCAATAAAATGAAGTTGGTTGTGACACAGGCACACTCCTTTATGCCATGTTCATGCATTTGATATCTGTGATAGGATGCACTGGTTAAACGAATAAACCATCCTGTTTCAGGTGCAACTTTTGATGTGGCCATGCGCTTCCTACATGAGTGCCCCTGGGAAAGGCTTGAGGAACTCAGAAAACTGATCCCCAATGTCCCATTCCAGATGTTACTAAGGGGAGCTAATGCTGTGGGTTACACTAATTACCCAGACAATGTTGTCTACAAGTAAGAAATACTCTGTCTAGAGATGCAATGACAAGTACGCTTTTCAGTTGTCCATGTGTTAAAGAAAAATGCATATAATTTATACCTGTATATGTTTTATGGAATAACCAAAATTTTTATGCGTGCACCAGTTTTGCATATACAGTGAAAACTGTTTAATGCGATATCTGCGTAAACCATGTTACTCTGAATTCTGACCTTTATTTTTATGTCATTTTACTTTTGCCCATGTTTTATACACCATGAAACCTTGCACCCTGTCAATTCCAAAACAAACTTTGTCTTTAAGTGTACGGAAGATTAGACAGGTTTCAATGTACTTTGTTAAAAATGATGTTGATTATTTGTATCTACATTTTCTTTGTGTTGTGTGACACCAGTAATTTATATCCTTAGGTTTTGTGACATGGCTGTTAAGAGTGGTATGGATATTTTCCGTATATTTGATTCCTTGAACTACCTCCCAAACATCATTGTAGGCATGGATGCAGTTGGGAAAGCAGGTAAAATGATTACAATGACTTTTTTTTCCTTGAAATGAATGTTTTAACATGGTTTACAAAAATCCATGTTTTACCTGTTAGGAATGAAATAGTTATGTATCTCACTTCAGCTCTGATTAGTCATAAATTTCAGTGCTACCTTTCAAGTATTAAGTTTTAAAAATGTAGCTGCAGAAAAATACATTTTGGAGCATGTTTGCTCTGTTCCTATTTTGCAATGTAAAGCCTATAGTTTGCTTTATTTACATGTGCCTATATTATACAGGTGGTGTGATTGAAGCAGCAATCTCGTACACTGGTGATGTGTCTGATCCCACTAAATCCAAATACAATCTAGATTATTATGTGGATTTGTCCACAGAGCTGGTGAAAGCTGGCACCCATATACTCAGTATTAAGGTAGGAATCAAACATTAATTATTAATTTATTTAATAATACTTATAATGATACTTTTATTAAAGATTGTGTTTCATGTATTTTCTGTTCGGTTTTATTTTATGCTTTGTTCATGGTTGAAGGAAATAATGACAATTTCAATATAGTGAAATAAACTTGTTTATAATAAGTTATTAATTTTCACAAAAAAAATGAAAGATGGAATGAAACTGGATTTTATGATATCCATGATTTTTTCTCAGGACATGGCAGGTGTGCTGAAACCCAAGGCAGCTAAGATGTTAGTGGGTACCCTGAGAGACAAATTCCCCGACATCCCCATCCATGTTCACACTCATGACACCGCCTGTGCTGGAGTGGCGTCCATGTTGGCTGCTGCGGAGGCAGGGGCAGATGTGGTAGACGTGGCAGTGGATTCCATGTCTGGTCTGACCTCACAGCCCAGTATGGGGGCAGTGGTGGCAGCATTAGAGGGAACAGACCTACAAACAGGTACAGACAGACCCACAGACAGCTAAGTACTTGATTAGTAGGTCAATTATCAAGAGTGTGATGCAATTCTTCCTCATGATTGAAAACAAACACACACATATTAATGTATAGATATTTATGAACAACCCTAACAAGATATGATACATGTACAACTGACAGATACATGTAAATTATAGACTTTTTTTTGCATCAGAGGTTTTCTTTTAAAAGAATTTCACCCCTCCCCTCTCTCTAGTCTATTTTTTCCAAGTTTTAATTGTTATTTTGTTTCTGTTACAGGCATCCATCTGTCTGATGTGTCCGACTACTCGGCTTACTGGGAACAGACCAGGAATCTCTATGCTCCTTTTGAATGCTGCAAGACGCTGAAAAGTGGAAACTCAGATGTCTATGTCAATGAAATTCCAGGTCTGTATATGCTTTCTGTGTGGCTGATATAAACTTGTACCACAATATAGGTCATTATTGTTATTATACAGATAATAAAGCTGAACTTTGGTAATTTGACTGTTATCTCAAAGACGATAGTTTTTTGTGAGATAGTCAACACTCTTTATAACCTAATACTACACACAACTTTTATTCACTAGGCAAAAATTAATTTACTGTGAATAAAAACGTGACTTAATTTTCATGATCAAGTCTATTTTGGATCTATTGTTAATAACTTAATAGACACAGAGATCTCAAATATCATGGTTATAAATATTTGTGATGACAAGGCTCTCAAACCTCTTTTAACACATAATATCTTGGTTTACTATCCCTTAAATATTCCCAAGATTTTTTTTCTCAGTCTGTTCAAATTTGAGATAATAAAATTTGACTGTACATGTATATTTAGAGCATATAGTTTAAGGTTTCTCTATTAACAAGTTTTTCTTTTGTGACATTGTGACAGGTGGTCAGTACACAAACTTACAGTTCCAGGCCTTCAGCCTCGGTCTGGCTGACCAGTTTGAGGAAGTGAAGAAAATGTACGCCGAAGCCAATCAGCTGCTGGGGAATATTCCCAAGGTTTGTTTACAATAACATAAAATAGAAGGGATAAAGCAAGTTATAATCAGAGAGTTAAATCATGTGTTCTTCATATAGCATTTATGATTGACTTTTTAGTGACTCATAATTTTAGCTAAACCAAAACTTTTGCTAATCAAAGTACTCAGAAGTACAGAGAGCTGGGCTCATTTACAGAGTAGATATACAAAAATATTCTGATCAAATTTTAAATCTAAATATAAATGTATGAAATTTTTCTTTGCAAAATGATTGTTGACAGCTTTTAAAAGATCTAAAAAATGAAATCTTTCAGTTTACGAATGAACTATGTTCTTTGACCCCCCCCCCCCCCCCCCAGCCTCATTACTTAATGTTTATGTTTATATAGATAAAACTTCGTTTTATTTTTGTTGCTTTATTTAATTTCTCAAAAGCGGTTTGAAAATTTTTGCAGTATTAAAATGTTCATTACATATTTGCTCTTTGGAAAACAAAAATGTAATTTTGATTAAATATTATATATATTTTAAATGAGCACATTTGAAGCTTTTTCCAAAATTACTACACATGTACATTTTATATGTGAATTCCTCCTAGGTGACCCCTTCCTCTAAAGTGGTGGGTGATATGGCTCAGTTCATGGTACAGAACAAACTGACCAAGGAGATGGTGGAGGACCGAGCGGAGGAGTTATCTTTCCCTGCCTCCGTCATCGAGTACTTCCAGGGATATCTGGGGGTCCCACCAGGAGGCTATCCTGAACCACTCAGAACCAAGGTAAACAAAAAGTATACTGTACATGTACATAAAATTTAGTGCAATTACTGATATAAATTTATTGGCATATTTTTTTCAAGAAATATGAAGAGAGGGAGGCATTTTTTCTTTCTTTTTTTAATGCGCTGCATTTTTACTTTCGCAAAAAATTGTGTATTGTATTTATATATTATTTTTTTAGTGGTTTTCATATTCATGAATTTGTGCATTTTGTATTTATGTATGATTTTTTGTGGTAGTCATGAATTTGCGTATCAATGTCTGAGCCAGTGTCGCTAATATATGAAGCCCGCCTTTTTAAGTATACATACAGTAGTTGTGCCAAAAGGAATATCATATTTTGAAAATGTCAAAACCCTTGCTATCTTGCTAGTTTGATACTATTGTACAATTGAATTTGGTATTTTGAATTTTAATGTGTCAAAATGGAACTCTAGATACATCAAAGTGAATTTAAAATTGGATGTCATTTTTTTTTCTAGGCCACATAGAGTTTGAAAGGATTGACTGTATTAAAAATGCATTTAGAAAATCACTGCAGTATATAAATTTATCCTTTTCCAGATCCTGAAGGGAAAGCCTGGTATTCAGGGTCGTCCAGGGGAAGCTCTCCCTCCCGTTGACTTTGATAAGTTGAGAGAGGAGCTGAAAGAGAAGCACGGGCATGATGTAAAGGAGCACGATGTCATCAGTGCTGCCCTCTATCCCAAGGTCACCGACGATTTCCTGGAGTTCCGTGATAAATACGGCCCTGTGGATACCCTCGGAACAAGGATATTCTTTGTAGGACCCAAAGTTGCTCAAGAAATGGAGGTTTGTCATGGTGTTTAATAACATTTCCTTACAATAAAGTGTACTTATTTTTTTGGGAGGGGGTTTAGAATTTATAAATATTTAGGTAAATAAGATTGGATTTTTTTTTCAGTTTAACTTTTTTTAGCTTTTCTCACTGGTCAGCCACAAAGCATCCTTAAGTAAAGAGGATTCAAGTTTCTTCATGCGATAGTAAACAATTTTGGTGGTATGTTTTAAATGCTACCACTGTGCCTACAGTTTTGGTCTGATTTCAATATAGCTTGGCACACAAGTAGACTACACTAAGATACATAATTCTATGCATCGATTTTTGATTTCGATGAACGTGTTGCCGTGGTTACTAAAAATAGAAATTTCTGTGAAATACTTAAAAAATGCAATTTCAAATACAGTTTGATTATAGCACATGTATAATGTGGCATGCAAGTAGTGTACACTGAGATACATAATCATTATTCTGTTTATTGCTGTTCTTTAAAAATTCTTCTCAAGTCAAAACCAACATGCCACTTTTCTTTAAACTTTTTTAAAGTACAAACCAGTAGAGCTACAGTCTTGATGGAGACTTCTGGTTTAAAATTTATGTCATTTATTTTCATTTCATCATGCAGAAATTTTCAGTTAAATGAGGATTTTTTTTTGCTAATTACAGGTACAAATAGAGAGAGGAAAGACACTGTCCATTAAAACCTTAGCTTGTGGAGACCTGAATAAGAACGGGGAGAGGGAGATGTTCTTTGAATTGAATGGACAGCTGAGATCAGTCAAGGTCAAAGATGAAGAGGCAGCCAAGGTGAAATGTCCCCAAATAAATGTCCTTAGTATTGATTTGTGTACTTCAATCCCTGACAATTAATTTTCACGACTGAGAAAACATTTGTCTACAAATACTAAGCAAAATGATTGGTTTATAGTCACCGAGTTAAAGTAGGTCACGGAATTATCTTTTTTGTGAAATCTTAATATTCCTCATAGAAGCCAAAGAGTAAATGGAATATGTTGTATCTTTTCAGGAGCTGCATTTCCACCCCAAGGCTCTGAAGGGGGTGAGGGGATCAGTAGGGGCCCCTATGCCAGGAGAAGTTGTGGACATTAAGGTCAAAGAGGGTGACAAGGTCGAGAAAGGTCAACCCGTCTTAGTGCTCAGCGCCATGAAGATGGAAATGGTTGTCACGGCACCTGCTTCAGGGACGGTGAAGTCGATCGCTGTGGAGAAGAAGATGAAGTTGGAGGGTGATGATTTATTGATGGACATTGAATGCGACTGAGTGAGAAAGATGATATCTTCCAAAGATGGCAGGCCACCTTAAGAGAGTTTTTGGGAATGCTTAAGTTAAATGCAGTTTAGAATGTGAAAACGTTCTTGTTGTTGATGATTAGAAATGAGATTAAATTTTTTTTCGAAAAATTGTGGGGAAAATGATTTATACATATGCATTACTGGTGTGAAATGGTGATACATGTATATATATTAGATTTTAAAAGTATGGAAACATATCCTAAAGAAATAAATATCTTTACTGTGAAGTCTTTTCTAGAGGTTTTAATGTTTATATGCAGGAAAGTGCTAAATGACTAGGTTCAATTATTGTCTTATCTGATTTTTCTCCATATATAGCAAAGTGCTAAATGATGCTAGGTTCAATCATTGTCTTATCTGCTAGTTCTACTTATATAACCTAGTATTCTTTTGTTTGACTTAAACTATTTTTCTATTTTTTTTTCATATTTTGTATAGAAAAAGTGTCAAGATCTTTTCTTTGATAGGTATTTTATATTTTGAATATATAAAAGGCATGAAAATGAAATCTTGTACATTTACATTTATACTGAATATATATATTTACATATATGTGCTGCATGGTAAAATTTATAGGTAAATGATTATTATTTGCAAAATTGATGCTTTCTAGTGCACAGAAGTATAATATACAGGTTGGGTTTGATGTTATGAGTAGTACATGTAATTAATAAAGCCCTAGCCAATTTGGAAGAGATATTTTTTTTATTTGGAAAGTAGACATTTATCATTTGGGTCTTAACAGACATTTTGTGAAAAATGATTTAAGTACTAAGTATGTTTTATTTCTTAATCTTTGCAATGTATAAACTAAAAAGTTATATTTTTTTCCAATCATTTTTTTTTTTTACTTCTTTGAGCATAATAATGTAATCAATGTTTTAGTGCTTATTTGATTATTTCTCTTATGTAAACATGATGATGGAAATTTAGGACTTAGCATAATTTATTGTACATGTATGTGTATAGATGCATAATTTTATGTGTTCTTCATTATACTTAAAAGGCTTCTGTGTTGGTAACAATTAAATGAAAATTTGTTGAATCTTTTTAATTATTGTTTTATAGTTAATGCCAAACAGGGCATTCAAGATTATCAAAGTATCTATTAAAAGAGTACACAAAAAGCATACATACAGCATTTTTACCAGTAAACCAATGTTGCTGACATTCCAAGTTAATTTTATCATAATAAATTTTGAAAAGTATTTCTGATTACACAAAGCTAGGTCCATCTAAACAACGGGCTTTATTTTGATGGAATGACGTTTGAAGAAGATCAATCATATTTTGATTAAAGTGAATTAATTTTTTGAGAGGACAATGTTGAAGTTGATAAAATTTTATGTGGATTTTTTTTCTGTATTAAAAGCGTTTTTATATAGCATGTTCAGGATAGGGCATATGGAAATGAAATGTGTACTGTAATGAAAAAATTAAATTATAATAATTTTAAATCAAAGATCTCATGTGAGCTAGGAAGTGTTTATTTCACTTCAAAAAGTTTATAATCAGTAGATATATATATTTTTTGCATGTATATTGAATTTGTATGCAAGATTTTGTTGAGCAAACAGTTAATTTATAGGTGTTTAATTAACATGGGCATTATTAAGGGGAAAAAATAGTGAATTTTTTGTAAGGCTTTTGTTTAGATGCTTTCATTTTTAAAATATTTAATGTGGGTAGTTGATTATAAAAATTAAGAAACCTCATTTCTCCATTGCAAGTGTTGAAGTAGAACTTCAATAAAATCTTCTTTATTATGTTGACTTGTGTTAATTCATTTTCATGCACAACTGCATTACATTTCTGTTTACACACTGTACATGTACATGAAAAGTCATAGCATCAATTTTTTTTTTTTGGGGGGGGGGGGTTATTTTGGTGACTAAAACACTGCAAAACATTGAAATTGTTAGACTTTTTGTACTACCGGCTTATAAAGAACACATTTTTATAGGTATATCAATTTGAATTAAGAACTGCTCCCCGAAGAAATAAAAAGAAAACAATTTTTAATTAGAGGAGGCCCATAGGAAGCAATTTCTCTTTTGGGGGGGAGGGAGTCATACATTTCTACCAAAAATACTTAAGAAATTAAAATGCGATAAAAGTACTGTCAATGTGGTTATGATGTCCGACAATTTCCTTTCAGATTTGAGAAACACTGGAAAGTGGACGAGCGAAAACTTGGACGTTCATAGTTGTATCATTTGAAGTATTCAGGTTCAATACATGTAGCTTTATGTTTGGCAAGTCTTTATATCAGGGAACAAATGTGACTCCTTTAAATGATCAACAAAGAACGAATTAGTGGGAGTATTGTCGACTTTTACACCAACTGTAAAAGTCCCATTTTCCGAATAAGCACAAATGTCACTGTTCTCTAAGTCGAACTCGGCCATAAGTATACGGCTTTCCAATTCATTCAGAAGTATGCTGCAATGAAAATATTTCTGAGATGTTGAATTTGGACATGTTTTCTTCTGTGCCCCTCTTCCTTGTCCAGAGGCCCCTTGATTTGAGCTTCCATAGGGTTTATAGGGCACTTTTTGGCATTCGCTTCCTTGCATTAACTTTTGGGACACAATCCGATTCAATTTTATCGTCACATCATTTTTCCGTTTGCTCTTGATATCTGTGCTCTCTACTTTAGCGATGATCAGTGTGTGTTTTCTCCTGTTTTCCTGCCCTTTGATGTACTGTACTACTGAACCTCTAAGCTTGCTGTATCTAATTTCTCTTTCAAAAGCTACAATATGCCTGTTCTGAAAATTCATGTCAATGTCTCGCTTTTCTCTGTGGTGTAATAATGATGAGACATCTAAATGGATGAAAATTTAACAGGATTTAGAAACAGCATAGAAAAAAAATCCAAATTATGTTTTGAATTTTTTTTTGGGGGGGGGGGGGGGTATTAATGCAAAAAATTACATGTAATTAAATTTTCGTTACCACCCCCCCCCTTATTATTTTACAGCATGAAAAAAAAAAAACATCACAAAAATAAAATCGTTTTCACAAACAAGAATGTGCAGTTCAACATAAAATGAGTGTAATTTTGTAAAACACGAATTTGAAAATAAAATATACAGGTTCGGATGCTGAATTAATTTATAAAAAGCAGGCAGTTGAAGAATCTTTTACAGAAAAGAAAGAAAGACAATCTTCTCTTTAACATTTAGATACATGTATAAGTATTTGTTTATGTTGGGATTTTGCTTGTCAGTATTATTTAAAAAAAATCATTATATATACGAGTACCTATAGTCTATACAGTAAAAACAATATTTCGACTCAATAAAAATACACTCACCTTGATGCATAATTAAAAAATTAAAGATACAGGTAAAGATTAAAGATTCTACCCGAAGACGCAGCATTTTTAATTTCTCGCACTAGATGTTGTTGTTCTGCAATTTTTCAACACGTCCAATATATATGAATATATAGATATAACATATGCGTTAACCATCTCCTCTTTTGAAGAAGGAAATGTGTTTTGTGTTGTTATAAAAACATCAGATAGAAATGTTTTCCCTTATATTCTTCCTGACCCATATAGATACGGGAAACCAATCAATTATATTTTTTTTTCGTCGGATTGACATTAACATATATTTAGCGGACAATAATATTTTTTATACTTTTCTGATATGTAGGGTAAGCAGGTTTAGAAGGCGAAAAATTGAGCGAAAAAAAAAAACAGAAATGAGCTCTGAACTATCCCTTACGATAAATAATAATGTTAAAGATTCTCAATGCGTGTATTCTAATTTAGCAAGCAAGGGATCATAAAAATTGATAGTATAAGTGAAATAATCAAATAACATAATATAAAAATATTTATGAATGATCGGGAAATATTTGCATTTCTATTTTTTTTTCTTTGTGAGTTAGGAAAGTTGATTTCTTGATAATTCTACCGGAATGTAAATTAGACAGATCGATAGATAAAATAAATAAAAATATAAAGAAATCAAATGAAACAAAAATAAGCGAATTTCTCAAATTTTGATTTATTTTAATAGTTGTGAGCCTCATTTCTCCTCATCCTGACAACGGACACCTGTTACATTGTATTTGTTTTTAATGTAATCTCTAAAAACAGTCTGGTATTTTAAGTATGATGGAGATAGCACATCCCTTTCACGCCACGTTGTTACTATATATTCACACGTATATATATTTGGGTCTGTTAAAGGATTTCCTCATTTGATTTAAAATAGAAAAGAGCCGAGTATCCCTAATATAAACTATGACAATTATACTCAATTTGAAATATATAAGACACCTCATATACATATAAAGAGCTTCAGTATCTTGACTTGTGTGATTGATAAGTACCATCCTTCCTTGCATTATTTTTGCGTCATAATTATGTAATATAGAGACATAAACTCTCGTCTTTAAGAGGGTTAGATGACATTGACAATTTCAGACTACATACACCTCATTGGCAAGAAGATCATGGTTAAAATAAAATAAACATAGGATATTGAGAAAAATAGTTTATATATAGCTTAAAAATGTTGAATAATTAGTATAAATTTAGTAAAATTATATATCGTCTTTTAAGCTTGTTCTGTTATCTAATTTGCTGACTATTGTGCTTATATATTCTTGTACAAAGCAATATCAAAATATAACTTCATTTTAGAATATTTAAAGATTGTCCACCGTCAACTTTAATTATTCCACAATCACCATAATATAGTGTTGATTCGATTCTCAAAAGCATGTTCTGCGTAGGACCAGCTTTTAAATCGAGTCAGCTTCAGACAAATAAATTGATGTTACATGGTTTTCAACAACATGTTTCTCGTATAAAGTCGCAATTTCGCAACTTTTGGTTTATTACAATGACCTTGCTTAATTGAAAATTACAATTTTCGCGAAAGCGAGGGGTCTGCCGGTCTTAATTCCACAAAAATCTTATCCTTGGTCATATCTTTTAAATGAAAAGAGATAGGAATTTCATATTAAAAGTGTGTATTACATGTGACGAGACCTTTCTTAATACACTATGATTTTTTGACACCATGATCTTGACCTTGAAGTTTGACATACTTTTTAAAAATTTAAACATATTAACTTTAAATTGGCCATAACTTTTCAACAAGAAGAGATAGGGCTTTCATATTACTAGTATACATATATACTACTTGTGACAAGTCCTTCTTAAATACTACTATGAATTTAAACCCCGTGACCTTGACCTTGAATTTGACCTACTTTTCATAAACTTTAACCTTGGTCATAACGTTTTAATGAGAAGAGGTAGGGTTTTCATATTTTACATGTATATTAGCTGTGACATTTCTTACTACACTATGATTTTAAACCTGTGACCTTGAAACCTAATGTTCGACCTGCTTTTCAGAAATGTTATTTTTTCCTCACAACTTTTGATTGAGAAGAGAAAGGGCTACCATATTTGACATGTGTATTACCTGGGACAAGATATTACCGAGCATGCTATGATTTCTGACCCCTTCACCCTGATTTTTGACCAAATTTAAAAAAAATCAACTTTGATGGTATCTTTTGAATAGCATGTAATAGGGCGTTCATGTTTGATATGGAAAATATGCTCTAAATATCTCACCCACAAAGACACCGAAAGCGGGGGGACCACAATTCTTTGAATTTTTGAATAGCATTTAATAATTAAGGCGTTCATGTTTGACATGGACAATATGCTCTAAATAGACAACGAAAGCAGAGGACCACAATTCTTTGACTTTGCTAGTTTTATTTATAAATAAATATCAGTGTTGGTGTGATTAACAGCTATTTCCACCAATTAACATTGATCTTTGCAAATGATCGACAAAAAACCATTCAGTCCCTGCTTGGACCCCTGTTCTCGTCTTGTCAACCCTAACACCAACAGTAAACCATCCTTTGTCTGAAAGTCTGCAATCGTTATGATTCTGGACATTGAACTCAACCATACTTATCCCTTCTTCAACTTCATCCATAAAAACTGTACAGTGATAATATTCGATGTGTCTTGGATTCGAACAAGTGTTTGGTCTTGTTCTAGGGTTATATTCCCTCATCATACATCTCCCGTTTTTCAGTTTTGCAGAAATTACATTATTTAATCTTTCTATGAAACCCGTTCTTCTTGACCCTCGATCTTGTGTGGCAAGTACACGAACAATTATGACAGTGTGTTTGTTTCTGTTCGCGTCTGTGAAAAGGAATCCGGGTAAGTGATGTCTTAATGTTGGGACATTAATTCTCGTCCTATTATATAAGGCAACAATATGCTTGGTCTCAAAGGTTTGTTCGATTTTTCGTTTCACTCGATGGTGGCTAGTAGAGGTGCCTAAAAATAAAAAGGTGAACATTGATAGACAACAAACATTTCTACATTAAAATGTTATATAGTTTATAATATAACAGATGTAATTAAAACTTGCCTTGACATGAAAATAATTCCACTTGGAAGCACAACAGATGAAAGATCCAGACAGATGTATAAAGTCTATAAATCGACTGCATGACACTCTCTTTTTCTTTGGGTGGTATAAGAGTATAGACAAGGGCGATATTTTATTTATAAATGTAAAATAGACTTTTTTATTGAAATGTGAATACTTTAAAATAATAAACAAATTTGATTTTTTTTTTAAATTATATTAATGGGGTTCTTCCTTTTCAGTTCCTGTTTTACAAAACAATTTACTCTTTCAAATTCCGGTACATCATTTTTAGTTTTCAGGATTAATCACGTGTTTGACATGACCAATGACAGCCACTGTAGTCATTTTGTGTCGGATGCTGTCCATTATTTGTACAATTTGCAATCCTTGGCTGATTCCGTTATGCTTGTGAGATCGGCCGAGGACGGAACTCATTCATGAACTTTAATTTGAAGAACTTACATTCTTCATAGTAATGATTGAACCACAGACCCGTAAAACGATTTTAAAACTATAAAGAAAATTTATCTACTAAAACTCAAAAATCCTATTTCGAGATGGATGAGGTTGTACATTTCTATTTCAGTTGGTACATTAACCCCCCCCCCCCCTTAATTCATGGACTGGAGGCTAGGAGTCTATAAGATCTTCAAATAAATTGCGTAAAGGCAAAAACATTCCCCCTTTTTTGTGGTAAGATTGTTGACTCCAAATTCCAATCCACAACTCCACTTGCTCCAAATAATAAGTCCATGAATTACACGGTGCCTTCATGTGGTCAGGTTGGAATAATAATGACGACATATTCATTTGAATTGCTACATTCCTTATAAAAAAAGTTATAATATCTTACAATAATATATGCAATTTCAGTAAATAAGAACAAAATACGTGTATCAATTATAGAAAAGTACTTATCTAATAAAAGCCTCTCTCCTCCAATAAGAACGTGATTGATGCAAGCAGAAAACTAAAAATTCATTGAAAGTGAATTGGAAATAGATGCATGTACACACTTACCGATCTTATTCTATAGCTTTTTTTTAATGGATGTTTATAAAGATTTTTTTTTAATTCAACTATATTTCATTATTGAAGGAAAATATGATTTCTTTCGTTTGAGGAACGAATTAGACAGAAATCAATTTCTACTTGGTGTGATAATGAATTACTTTTTCGGAATTACAAGGTTTTCATTCGAATACCTGGTGTATATCACGTGGTTCTTTAGAACCGGTCTCGTTAGCAAGGCTATATACATGTAAGAGGTGAATAGTGGTTTAAATACCAGTTTAGGACGACACGTAGAGCACGATAAAGTTTAAATTTTATCATGATTTATTCAATCCAACATAAACTTGTATATACAAATTGATTTTCATATTTTGCATATTTTATGTACACTGCACAAATAAAGCTACTGCGTGTCGTTTCTATGTCCAAATGGTGTGTTTGTTGTTTATTGTACTTTCATTTGAAAGTAATGAATGGATTTAGAGTAGAAAAAGTTCTGTTGTTAATATTATCAAAGACACACGAAAGCTTCAAGTTTCTGTATAAACGTCATAACCTAAACATGTTTTGTTTTGCAACTTTTATATCTTGGAATTTTCGTCGCGTGACTATTCACGTATATATGAGACAAATATTCTTATCATAGTTTATCAGAGCTGTATCAAGGTAGGGACATGTGAAACTTTGAAATCAATTTACACATGTCATATTTTTAAGTTTATCAACTTTTGAAATATCATCAATATAAAATCATTCCATATCTAAATATTGCTGAAATATTGGTAAATCGGATATTTGATTTTTTTTTTTTGAGAGAGAGAGAGAGCTCGATAAAGAAAAATAGCATTTGTCCATAAACTTAAATAATTTTGGACAGCCCTCGTACGCTAAGAAATAGGACTTTAGCGACCATTTATCTAAAAAAAAATATTTTTTATATTTAAATCCAAATATCAAAACTTCGCTTCTCGAATTTCAGGAGAAGATCCAACATGACAATGCTGTTGTTGCTTGTACTATGTTCTACAGTGTATGGAATGAGTATTTTATATCTATACAAATGATTCAATACTTATTTTATTTTGAATATACATTCGTCTATATTAGTTGTCCCTTAGGAGTTCCAATGACCTTATTTATTGGGGAACCGAAATGAGGCAATAATTCTGTTATATACTTATCTATAATTATCTCTTTGGAGATTTTCTTGTTTTACTCGACATGGAAATCCAAACAGGATATGCCCACCCCCACCCCCCAACTTAAAATTTGGTTTATTCACTGTATTTAACAACTTCTTTGTAGATATGCGTACTCAGATGAATGGGATATTTTTACATACACACAGGAGTGGCCTGTAGCCGTTTGCATAAAGGGCAAGGAAGAGGTAATGCTTTTTTTTAATGATGAAGAAAAAAGGTTCAAGTTTGTTCGGGGCTTGAAAAAGTATAATACTGGAGTGTCCTTGACATTTCATGTGAAATCTTGAACAAAGGTCAGGGACTTTTTGCACACACTTTGGAGGGGAGTACAGCTTTAATGTAAAGTGTCCAGTCATTCTTATCTGTGCTTGTAAGATATGGACCGAAATAAATTATCATAGTAATGTCTATACAACAACTTTGACCATTGAGATATTAGCACTAGTATACAATGAGTCGTGGTCATGACAGAGTTCAAAAATAACGATTCAGAACCATCTACGTATAATCTTTTGTAGTAGGAATGTAAAATTATAAAAGCTACATGTAGTACATGAACTTGGATCACAGATTTCGTCTGAAAAGTCAAAGTTATGAAGCTTTAGATTGTAAATCAACGACTACACCCCCCCCCCCCCCCCCCCCCAAAAAAAGGGGGGTTCAACGTTTGGGGAAGAAGTTTACTTTTTTTTAACTTGTCAAGAAATTTCGGAGGGTAGATTTTTATTTTGACTGGGGTGGAACCCCCCCCCCCCCTTGAAAAAAAATCCTGAATCCGCGTCTGCTAATACTAGTACTCGGTATACATGTATATACATGTATATAATTCTATACAGTATATGGCATGGACTTCATGCCAGATTGACAACAATAATGACATAAGATTTTTTCTTAACTTTACAGCATCACTCCTGTTCTATTCCGCAAGGTGTGCAGGGCTGGGGTATACATGGAATGTGGTAAATACCATTGTTATTTACACTATTAACAAAATTTTAGTACGAGTGATTAAAAACCGATAATATTGGCAATTTGAACATGTAATGACTACATAATATTCCAGTATTACCTGTTTTTGATGTTTGTGCCTCCAAACTTATTTGCTATATAAGAGCTTGCTCTGCATGAGTATGATACATTTTTTAAGTGAGGCGTGTTACTCACTAATAAGTTGAGGTTACAGCCTTACAGGGATTTTAACAACCTCGTTTCAAGTCGGCATATTTTTTATTCTATGGTCGTTATAATGACCTTGTTAGCAAATATAACATATCATTAGGCCGTATTTTTGCTTACTTTTTTCATACTAATTGATTTAAGTCTTTGTTTCTATACTGAATTTGACTACAAAATCTTTCGTCTACCTAATCAATTCACAGGGTTCACAGCGGGTGTGACCAGTCAACAGAGGACGTTTACTCCTCCTAGGCACCTGATACCACCTCTCGAATTCTTGGCTCAAACTGCACCCTTCTTAAAATCTTCTTTGCTTTTCTTTTGTATCTTCAATTCAAAATTTAAAACTTTTTGCAGGCCTACAAAGACGGGAACGGAAGGGCCGACAAGCTGTGGAACCCAGCCTTTCAATACGGACGCCATTTCGGTATTTATATTTTGTGTTTGTATGTTGCTTAACGTCTCTCTCGAGAATTTTTTACTCATATGGAGGCGCCAACACTTGCCGGTGGAGAGTTGAAACTGGTGTCCTATGCTAGGCACTTTGGGCCATTGAGCAGCGAGGGATCTTTTTCATGCCAGCACCTACTGCGACACTGGACCTCGGTTTAAACGGTCTAATCCGAAAGGACTGGTCTCCACGTCCCACAGTGGGTTTCGAACTCTCAACGTAAGGATCAGTATTTATAAATGAAAAATGAAATAATGCCTCTAAAAATGGCAATTTGCAAGTCAAAACTTCAAGTCTAAAGTATGGAAGGAATTGTAAAATGGAGCATCTCTTTGCAACACTCCCAGTCTCTTTTTTTATCCTATAACGCATTATGAAATATTTGTCGTAAAATACAGTCGGGTCTGAAGATTTTATAACTGTCTTTGAATTTTTGATCATCAATTTCCTGTAAACATCAATGTCTTATTTATTACAGGTGCTTCTTCCCCATTTGAAGATTTTGTGGCCAAACATGTACTCCGACACTTCTGAATACAGTTTCTGGTAAGTCTTGCATACTGCCGAATTTAAGAAACTAAAATTCCCCTTTCTCCCGAAATACCTACACTTTCCTACAGGAGTTTGGAAAACTGTGATTATTTTATCTGGATATCAGGAATTCAATTTAGTTGTCTAACTTCAAATGGATCAAATAACACCCTCCAAGCTCCTCGAAATATTGTAAAAGAAAAAAATAACGAAATATGCATTTTTTTTCGCAGGGAACATGAATGGAGTAAACACGGAACTTGCGCCAGCTCACTCAACGTAACTTCTACAGAGTATAGATATTTTTCTAAAGCTCTGGATCTGTATACACGATATAACGGACAAACGTAAGTATCTTTCATTTTCATACGAAACTGATATATACAATTTATCATGAAAATTCACTTTCAGTAATGAACGTTTAATTCCCTTTAGATTATTGGCCAACCAAGGAATTGTACCAAGCCATACCGCGACTTATAATGTACGAAATATTTTTTTGATTTATCTTTCAACACTATGTTTATAAAAGAATAGATATGTATATACATCAATGTAAAATTAAATTCATGAATTAAATTAAATTTGCAATTTCAATTTGCTGCAGATCAAGCCAACAGAGGCCGCTTTGAAGAGAGAACTCGGTGTTAACGCGTTGGTTCAATGCACATATGACCATGTGAGTATTATATTCACAAAACTTTGTCAGCCATGAATCTCGCGAGATATTTTTATGTATTTCGTCATTTTAGACTTTATAGGTGCCAAAAATTCAAATAAAAATGCAGGAATTTCTTCTTCTTCTTTTTTTTTTTTTTAAAATAACATAAATAACGAAACACTTTTGTTTTTATTTTTAAACGGGCGGTGGACACTTTTAAAGAATTTTTAGTTTTAATTTTGGAAGAATGAGCATTAAATATGCTTGTGAAATTATTTGCCGAGAGATTCTAAACGTCCCTTTCAGGATCACTGAATAGTGGCTTTCAAGATTTACTTCCATACCCTACATTTTACTTGTCAAGGTATGGGATATGAAAATGCTCGAAAGAAGGAAAACCCGTTATTAATTATCATTGGAAAGTTAATAGCTTGTATAACGTCATATCACTGTAAATGAGAATGTTTTTACATGAATTTTAAAGATTCCCTTCTGTTTCAAAATAACGTTAAAAACCAAACACTCTCAATGTTTTTTACTTAATTTTGTAAAATCAGAGAAATATTCTCTATTCATAGGATATGAAGAGACAAGTCATTTACGAAATAGAGATTTGCTTGAGTAAGACCTTTGAGCCCGTGGACTGTTACCCAGATTCCGAAAACACTTCCGGAAAGAGGAGCCACCATTATCATCATAAATATAGCAGTCATCCAGAAAGTTCATGTCCGGAAAGTTACGGATTTTACTACCCACCTATTGACGGGGTGTACAGCAACAAAAATACACTGTAATGGTTACGGAAAATAAATTCTTGTTTATGTTAGTGTTTTCAAGTGTTTCAATTTATGTACATGAAAGAATGAAGATTTCATCTCAGATAAAAAAAAAAAATACTTGCATACTACACGTAATAACACTAATCTTGCTCCTGTACTGTTGCTCTTTAAAAGATACCCTTACATTCCAATTTTGAGCTCTACCTGTAAAGTTGTTCTTGAAAATTTTTTTTTTAAGACAAACACCCTATTTTTGCCTTTTCTTGATTATATCCCCTTTCAATTAATTCAGTCACACAAGTTTGAAATCGAAGTGCTAATGATTACTTAATGAGCTTGTCCAAAATTACTTAGATACTGTAGATTCCTTACTTCACGGGGGAATTCAAAATTGTGAAATGTTAAATTAATTCACAATAATTTAAAGTAGACGCTCGATCCAGATAATTTATATGGATTTCAGAACCATAAAAATTGAAGTAATTTTTTGGGGATCAATGCTTCGTGCAAAAATACACAATTAAATCCTCAACTATTTAGGAATCTACACAAATAGAAAAGATCCAAGTCTGGTCTATATTTTCAGATCATGTCTGAATGATGTAAAACAATCTTTATAACAAAGTTCTAGGAACAGGCAATGTTGTTTCGTTTTAAACATAATACATGTCCATTAGCATCACAATATATTTAAAACCCACAGAGAATGAAAATTACTTTGCTATAAGCATCTTTATAAGCCTGTTTTACTGTACTTGAGAGCTTCCCAGACTTCAATGACAACAATGTCAGTTAATTCCTCCATCTTCATTTCTAAAGATTGTACACAACAATATTTACTTGTATATCCATGATATATTTTATTGCACAATTTTTAAAATAATCAAGTAGTAAAAAAATAAAGGGAATCTAATTCCATTCAAATACAAGAATAAACACTTCATCTGTTTTCCTTTCTTTTGAAGTAAGCATGAAGTGGCTTCATTCCCTGAAAAAAAGAAGAAAAAAATCACAATTTTAAAAGGATTTTTTTTATATTCAAAAGGAAATGATATGTTTTCAGAAAACATATATTTATGATTCAACATTAAAGATGGTATACAATGTACATGGTAAATTGGTCATACTGTACGTGTACCAGTACATAATTCGGCATATTAAAATTTTTAGCACAATCACTGGGTGTAAGCTTTTGGTGTAATCATGAATTAGCATTACACATCTGTGCCATATACTATTTAATAAATGATTTCTTATTGGTATTCATGAATTAGCGCAACATTTTCTGCTCCACCCCTAAAATACAAAGCCTGCTTTAAGTACATATACAGTATTCTGGGGGACTTAATACTTACCTTTGCCACAGGTGACCTGATTTCCTCCTGGCTGCTGCTTTGAGAGGACGATGTTGAAGACAGTGAACTTTTGGACCTTGGCGATTCCGATATTTTCTCAAATAAAGCCCTTCGTGGCGATCCTTTCTGTGTTTCACCATTACCACCCATCCTTTGCTGCCTAATCTGTGACAACCAATCAAGTTTCTGAGGACTATTCTCTTTGTCACTTTGCTTATAGAAAATATTAACCTTATTCACACTACCTTCCTTCACTAAGTTGGGTAAATTCACAGTGGGGGACAAAACAGACCCCACATCACTTGAAGGGGGTACCTCAACCACAGTGTTCCTCATCAATGGAGTTGGTCTAACGGCCAATGGACTCCTCTGTAACAGTTGTGAACTCTTACTTATGACACTTGAGTTTTTGTCCTTCAGGATAGAAAAGTCACCGAGAACTGCCCGTGCCTGATCGGACTTCCTGGGACTCTGCTTGATTTCCAGTTTCCTCGGGCTCCTCAGCTCCGCCACTTTCCTAGGACTGTCCTGTAATCTCTGCCTCTTGGTGAATCTCTCAAAAGACCCGCTATCCTCGCTATCGTCATCGATCAATTTTCTCTTGCAGGGTAGACGGTTTCCTTGGAATATTGACTTCTTACTATTCTCAGTGTTTTCCTCACCATTCTTGGATATATATTTTTCTGAGTCCTTTAAAGCAGATGATTTATTACCTTGAGTTTTACTGACTTGTGTCTTTCGATTACTCCTAGAGAGCCACGTTTTAATGGAGGGGGAAATCACTGAGGTGGTACCAGAATCACTTGTAACAGGTGGTTTTACACTTGAGATCAAGGTTTGGTCCATCTTCTCGGCAATTCTCTGTTCCAAATCATCAGCTGATACACCTGCACAACAAAAAAGAGAAATCAAAAGGACCAGCATGGAGAATCTGCTATATCATTTACTAATTTATTCATTTTACATATATTTTGAGAGAACAAGAGGCCCATGGGCCACAATGCTCACCTGAGTAACTTTGACCTACTGTTCTTCACCTGATTTCCCAATTGTGATCATAGCTGTTGTGACCCCTGATGTACCCCAAGGGGTCAGGATTTAAACAATTTAGAATCTACACTACCCCAGGATGCTTCCATATACTTGTATGTTTCAGATTGTCTGGTCCAGTGGTTTTTGAGATGATTCATTGATTGTATGCCGTTTTAAACATTCCTCTCAACACTTTTTCGTTCATATGGAAATGCCACCACTTGCCGATGGAGAGCTCAAATTTTGTCCTATTACTACACTTAAGGCCATTGAGCAGTGAGGGAACGTGCCAGCACCTACTGTGACACAGGACCCCGGTTTAAACGGTCTCATCCGAAGGACCTGTCTCTACATCCCACATTGGGATTTGTAACTTTGAGGTAGGGATGACTCCTTACTTTGCGACTCTAAAGCAGACGCTCTAACCACTGTGCCACGTGGGCAACATGGTTCTTGAGAAGAAGATTTTTAAAGATTTTTCCTACATATTTCAATGTAAAACTCAGGGATTCCCCATCATGACCCCATCCAACCCCCATGGTTCATAATTTGAACAATTTAAAATCTACACTACCCCAGGATGCTTTCACCTAAGTTTTAGCTTTTCTGGCACAGTGGTTCTTGAGAAGTTTTTATGATCCATCCTATTTTTGTTGTTTTGACAAGATTTCATTATCCCGAGTCCTTATAGTATGCAAAATATCCAAGTTTTCACAAAAACATAACACTTGGTCAACATTATAGTGGCACCTTGAGACCATATCCTTTGTCCCCAGGCTGATGTCTTGAAAAATCTTTTATATTCTCATCCCAGTATATACATGGTAAGTTTGCTGATAACCTATCCACTGGTTCTTGAGAAGACTTTTTTTAGCAACCAGTACTTTTTTTGGGCTCATTAGAGCTAACAAATACACATAATTTGTTTTTTATAAAAAAAATTGGATAATTTTGTAAAATAAAAACGTTTACTTTATAACTTTTTTTTCCCCCTGTAATTATATATTACTTTATTTAACACTATTATTCATTTGTTACAAAAGTACAGCTGTACTAAGGAGATTTAGATCTATATTTATCTCCACCAAGGAAGTAAATTAGACATCTCGTCTAAGTCTCGACTAAAATCTCACTCCTACATTGTACATTCCAAAGTTTGCGGAACAGAAATAAACATTTAGAAGCCCACTGTGTCAGAGGTAAGTACATCTACCTGGGATGCCAGCAGACATGAAATTCAAATTTTTCTGAAAAAGGGCATTTTGATTACTCAAATCCTATTTGTCCAAGATAATCTCAGATTTGATACAACAGAATAGATAACAAACTTTACACCTTTCTGGCAGCGTTCCTTTTAAGTGGGACTGGGGTCAGACAACTAAAATACATGTTCTGTATTGTTTTCTGAAGTTGATTTTAGTTTAACATAAACAATTAAAGTCAATATTTAAAACTGTTACAATTTTGAAATCCATATGCTTGTAACAAACTTTTCAATGTTAATTTTAGATGGCGCTTTCCAAACCAAAAATTTCAGGCACTGCCCAACACTTTCTGGAATGTGGTACGGAAGATTGTGAGAGAAATTGTGAATTCTACTGCAATTCCTGCCATCATCAGATGTGTAAACCATGCAGAGACCAACATCTAAAGATTGCAGAAAACAAGAACCATGAAGTGGTCCTTTATCAGCAACGTAAACGACAACTCCCTGTGATGAAATGCAAGATCCACCCCACTAAAGAAATAGATATTTTCTGTGAAGAATGCAATGTTCCTTTATGTTCCAAGTGTTCAACAATGCAAGATCATCGGGGGCATCAATTTATTGATTTAGAAATTATATACACAGAGACATTTGAAATTTGCCATAAGGAGCTCTCTAAAATCCATAATTACTTTGTTCCTACATCAAAGGATTTACAGAGAGAAGTTCAGGAAGATGCCACAGAAGTTAAACAAATCATGGACAGCATACGGACATCCATGAAGGCTGAAGCCCAGTCTCTCAAAACCATGGTGGACACAGTGCTCTCAGAAAATATGGAAGAATTAAACCAAATAGAGAAGTCATTACTGAAGAAATTAAAGAGTCAAGAGAAGACATTTGATGATTATATTACCTATCTCAGTGACCTTGTTAAAGAGTTCCAGAGTTACCTGTCCTCTACTGAGCTCTCTAACTTCACAACTAAACTTCCAGACAACTTAAAAATAAAATCCATACCAGAAACCACAAAACCTGTCACACCAGAATTTTCTTCTGCTCAATACAGCAAAGAAGATGTTGATAAATTACTGGGGAAGATAACTGTTACAAATAGAAAGGAAAAACTAAGAAGAGTAGAACCCATGGAAATTGCTTCTTTTTCTACATCAATGAAATCTGAAAGTAAACAGACAAAACAGGATAAAGATGTGAAATCTGACAAGAAACAAACACTGTCTCTATCTGCCTCTGTCACCAAGGTCAGGGAATTCAAAGTACCAGGTGTTGATAAGGTATTCCATGTATCACTAGATCAATCAGACAGACTCTGGATCAGTGACAGTTTGGGTAATCTTGTCCAAACAGATCTACAGGGGAATTTGATACAGAAGATAAAAACCAGTGGTGGAATAGAAGGTTTCCACACAGTCACACAGGGCAGGGATCTGAT